CTATCTATCTATCTATCTATCTATCTATCTATCTATCTATCTATCTAATCTATCTATCTATCTATCTATCTATCTATCTATCTATCTATCTATCTATCTATCTATCTATCTATCTATCTATCTATCTATCTATCTATCTATCTATCTATCTATCTATCTATCTATCTATCTATCTATCTATCTATCTATCTATCTATCTATCTATCTATCTATCTATCTATCTATCTATCTATCTATCTATCTATCTATCTATCTATCTATCTATCTATCTATCTATCTATCTATCTATCTATCTATCTATCTATCTATCTATCTATCTATCTAATCTATCTATCATCTATCTATCCTATCTATTATCTATCTATCTTCTATCTATCTATCTATCTATCTATCTATCTATCTATCTATCTATCTATCTATCTATCTATCTATCTATCTATCTATCTATCTATCTATCTATCTATCTATCTATCTATCTATCTATCTATCTATCTATCTATCTATCTATCTATCTATCTATCTATCTATCTATCTATCTATCTATCTATCTATCTATCTATCTATATCTATCTATCTATCTATCTATCTATCTATCTATCTATCTATCTATCTATCTATCTATCTTATCTATCTATCTATCTATCTATCTATCTATCTATCTATCTATCTTATCTATCTATCTATCTATCTATCTATCTAATCTATCTATCTATCTATCTATCTATCTATCTTTATCTATCTATCTATCTATCTATCTATCTATCTATCTATCTATCTATCTATCTATCTATCTATCTATCTATCTATCTATCTATCTATCTATCTATCTATCTATCTATCTATCTATCTATCTATCTATCTAATCTATCTATCTATCTAATCTATCTATCTATCTATCTATCTATTATCTATCTATCTATATCTATCTATCTATCTATCTATCTATCTATCTATCTATCTAATCTATCTATCTATCTATCTATCTATCTATCTATCTATCTATCTATTATCTATCTATCTATCTATCTATCTTTATCTATCTATCTATCTATCTATCTATTTCTATCTATCTATCTATCTATCTATCTATCTATCTATCTATCTATCTATCTATCTATCTATCTATCTATCTATCTATCTATCTTTTTTTATCTATCTATCTATCTATCTATCTATCTATCTATCTATCTATCTATCTATCTATCTATCTATCTATCTATCTTATCTATCTATCTATCTATCTATATCTATCTATCTATCTATCTATCTATCTATCTATCTATCTATCTATCTATCTATCTATCTATCTATCTATCTAATCTATCTATCTATCTATCTATCTATTTCTATCTATGGTATGATCATGTAGACAATAAACAGTCAAGCAGCACGATGATCCAAAAAAGTAAAAGTAAACCAACTATTAAAAAACAGTTCAGAAGAGAATCTTTGCAGAAGTGTGTTCATCTCTCCATATATTTGATCTATCATTTCCTCTTTGTTAGACTAATATGATACAAATAATAGTAAGAGGGGCACAATAAGCCTGAAAGAAAAGTGCAAATATTATGTCATGCTAGTCAAAAAGCCAAAAGTATCTGAAAACTGCCCAACTCAAAGTCTCAAACAATCAACAACTAGAAGAAATGTATGAAGGAAATGTGAATTCTCTTTCAAGGTTTCTGGAAAAACAACATAACTAAAGATATCCCAGTTAAAGCATGCCTCTACCTTCCACTTTGCTGAGAGACCTTTAAACCAATCATGATCCTCAGCCATTTGCATTGGTTCAATTATAGACTTATTGATCAACAGATCAAGCCAGGAGTCACCAACAGTAATGAGATCAGCTGTGATAGCAGATTTTGGAGAAGCATCTACTTTGCTTATTGACCTTGAAAGTTCAGAATAAACATCTTCAAGTGTTCCACGGAACTGAACACTTAGCTTTAATCTCTTTCCTTGAGACTGAATGAAATCCTACACGTTTAAAATGTATGATAAGCGATCTACTGTTCCAAATAGTACACGGCAGTTGTCAACTGGGTTTGGGGGAGGGGTACCAGTGCAGCCAGAGTTGCTAAACAAACCAACAGACCTTGATCCAGGCAGGTGGTACAGAGCCTTGTAGAGCAACAACTCTCAAAGGGACAGTCAAAGCATATGTTTTGGATTTCCATTTTTCAAATTCTTCACGCTGCTGTTCACTGTCCACATTTTGCACAGCTCTTTCTGAAACTTTATCTGGATGCAAAGATACAAATTCATGTCACCTTTTCACGCTTTTGAAATAGCCATCTAATAGCCTACAACATCTATGCAGCTGTAGTTTCCATAAACTCATTATCAAATAATATCTACAGCATATATCTATTTGGTATCCTTTTTATCTGGCTCAAATGCAAGTATTACAAGACAAGACATGGAAACTATTATACATAAAAATAATTTGCAAACATGTCGAAGTCTCAACGCTCAAGGCAGTTTCTATAAGACAACATATAATGAATACATGCATAAAGGATTATTAGAAATTTAACATATGCTAGTAGAGTAAGTGCAAGTTTGCAACATCAGCAATTAGTTGAGAAGTATATAATTATAATTATAATTAAAATCAAAAACCAAAGGAAAACACCAAGAATTAAAAAGCACCTTCAGCAATGATTTCCTCTTGAAGTGGTGGACATGTAGTAGGATCAACAGCAGCAAGTGCATTAGATGCCTTACTAGAAAATGAAAAGGTAAAGATGCCAAGAGCAACCAACATCAACGACGAGGTAGAAGCCTTAACAAATGCCCGAGGCAATTCGAACCACAGGCATTCTTTGGAAGAGGTAGACACTGATAAACTCACATCCAATTGCCGATTTGATGAAGCATTAATCCTAGAAAAGCCAAGGGTCTTGTGAGGTAACACAATAGTAGGCCGACGACAAGCAAATGCAGGATATAGGCAATTCAAGGGTGGCTTTACTAACTTCATTGTTGAATCCACAGGTAATAACTTTTCAATGCAGCCATTATTTGAGAATAAAGCCATCAAAAACTTCAATACTCATACAGGATTTGCAATGCACACTTAAATCCAATATTCCAAATACAAGATTTCACAATAACCTCTGCAATGATATAAAACAATCAATTAAAGACCCAGAAAAAATACAAGTTCAAGTTCACTTTTTTTTTTTTCTAATTTACCAGAATTGTGGAAAAAAAACCCAGAAATCACTATTTCGTTTAATCTTTCAACTCAATTCAATGCAATTTGCAACTACCTCTTTTATTTTCGGCAACAATATACAATTCATTCTCATGATTTCACATTTTTATGAACTACTAATTTGAAGCATAAAAAGTAAAGAAGTGGAATTTAATCGAAATTCATAATTATTCCATCTTTAGGCTATAAAATTAAATACCAAGAAAAGAAAATGGAGGAAAAAAGAACGGATTACCTTCAACTCTACTAAGAGAGTTAACAATGGAGCTTCCAATAATACGGAGTAGTTTGCTACTAAAATTCTTCAACTGGGGTTAAATTTTGAAGAGCAAGAGAAATTAGTTCAATTAATCGAACGATTTGTTAAGATATTGGTTGATACTGATATTACAGTACAACCCAATCACTGAATCACTGATACCAGCCATGGTTTTTACAATTTTTTATTCTTTCCCTATCCCACTACCTTCCATTTTATTACTTTCGCGGCGGCGTATGAAAAAATGGAGCAAGTATTTAAAACACGAAGTATTTCATAATATTTTTCGTAAATAAATCAATAACTTATCATTTCCATAACATATGACACTTTCGCCAACTAGCCTATCATTTTCTAGAGCTTGACTTTATTTTTTTTTGGTATATCTATAATAATCTATGTGATTAAATTGTAATATAATGCTAATGACAGTGATTATGTTATTGAAACTACAAATTTGCAAATAGTTCTAACTTCTAAATTTATTTTTAAGATGTCCAAAAACAAATCCTACAACATAAAATATGATTTTTCTCTTAAATAATCAAGATTTTCTTTCAAAAAAAAAATCAAGAAGATTTTAAATACAAGTAGATAAAGAGAATAATAACTATTAAGGGTCTGTTCATATTTACTTATTTTCAGTTCAGTTCAGCTCCAATCAGTTCAGTTCAGTTCAGCTCTTAATTTCCCTCTCTCATAAAATATTCATTTCAACTTAGTTCAATTCAGTTCAGTTCCAATCAGTTCAGTTCAGTTCAGCTCCAAATCCTCCAATCAGTTCAGTTCAGTTCAGCTCAGTAAATATGAACAGGCCCTAAGTGTCATTTGGTTGACAAAAAAAATACATAGAAAGTTAAAATTTCTAGAAATTGAAATTCTTTTGTGGTGTTGGGTTGATAAATTGGTAGTACGTTGGGCACACCCCTCCTAGTTGATGAGTGCACTGCTTCACAAACTTGATAGCCCTCTCGATACCATATATGAGCTTTGTTACTCTCCGAGGTCAAGGAAGAGGTCACGGGGTTGAACCATCATTCCAAAATGTTCCACTTCTCACAAAATGGAAGAAGTTAATCACCTAAAGAGACCTAGGTAAGTGGATTTTGTCATTACAATTTTCACTTTGCATGATGAACCAAACACTATTTAGCATTTCCTAGGAAATCATTTACATAGGAAATTAAATATCCAATAAATTTGCAATTCCTACATTCAACCAAATGAACCCTTATTTTTACTTGATACGTAATTTTTTAGAAGTTATAAAGTTACTTGAGATAATTTTGTTGAGCTAATATCTAATCATGGACTCATTGCTAATTTTGAAGTATCATAGTCTCCAATGATATACTGAGTACTTTGTAATTCATACTAACCCAAGCAAAACCGAGACTTAATAACAATTCTGTGTAAGGGTTTGTAGGGGGAGCAAGCCCAAAGAACATAGTCCTAATGGGACTCCATGTCAACTTGTCAAACACAAGAAAAAAGACAATGACTTGGTGATTAGCAGTAAGAAATTATTGCAATTTTGTAAGATTAGATACATCCAAGTTTTAGGCAAATCTTTCAAATGTTGACCCAAAATTTATAATTATATGGTGTATACTATACATCATTCCAATTACTTGTTTATTGGTACATAGACTATGTGCTACACAATATTTTGACAACACCAAAACTTAAAACCCATAATTTTGTACAGTTTCTCTAGTGAATATTGTATGAAAAACTGTACAAAATCATGGTAACTAGAGAAACTGTAACTATTGCTGCAAAAGGTTTGCCCAGGATACATTGCCTTCTGAAACTTCAACCAACCTTTGTACGTAAGGGGAAGGAAACCATCCTGTCTTACCATTGCATTCGCCATTGGACCAGCCACCAGGAATCACCTGAATAGAGGCAAACAAAGCACAACACCAAAATTAAGTTGGTAATCATTACAATAATATGCATGACTGCATGTACTGATGTAAGAAGTGACTGAAGTTAAACCTCCAGCAATTGAAGAACATACCTGCTGAACCACGACAATATCATTAGCTAGTAGACTCAACTCCCATTCAGCTTGAGCATCGAATGGGTGTACAACCTGTGAAATAGATAAGATTAAACAAAGAAGACGTCAAAGAAAAAAGAAGCTTAGGGAAGACACAGCCTAAAATGAACATATATAGTTTTTGACAGCAGATTATATAAACTAGTAAGTTGAACTTTGAACCTCTTGACATTTTCTTTACTGAAATCCAATTAAAATTCAAAGTAAAGACTAAATTTGGTGGAGATGTCAAATTTAAATAAAAAGTGGTAGTTGTGAAATTCTCAGCTGAATTTTTAAAATTCACTCCAAATGAAAAGTAGCTTAGGAAACTATACTATATTGTTCTGCAGAGGATGCATTTAGAACCATTGATAATAGTTGTAATGAATATCAAGTGTTAATTCTCATCTATATTGCGGAGATACATTATTGGGGATTGTTGGGAAAAGTTATCTTGACAAGTTTAGCAATCTTACTGTTGCAACATAGCATGCACCATCTTCTTGTTCTATGTAATGCTCCTTGCTTCAATTTTAATGGCTGTGTAGCATCTTCTGGCAGTGATGAGACACACAATTGTTCCAGTTGAATCATCTAAAATACCAGAATAATTTACAGCAAAGATCAAGACACATCTTTAACTAGCATGTAGCATCATGCATCAAATTCACACGGTAAACAGAGGTAAAAGCAAATTCAGAATATATATGCAAGTTAACAACCAATCGGTGTCACAATCAACAAGAGAAATTTCCAGGATCATTTTACCCTCAACAGTACAAAGCAAATGAATGCAAAAGAAAGAGATAAATTACATACCTCAGGAAGAACCTTTTTCCAACATAGCAAGAACATTGTGATGGTGTAAGATCTTTCAGCATTCAGCTGCAAGTTACAACACCCAAATACATTACCACAATCATTTATTAAGAAATTTAGAAATTTCTGACAGGCTAAACATACAAGTCTTACTAGACTACAGTCTACAGGAGTCCTTTTATGCTTTCTGATGGAGTCAATCAAAATCTTTAGCTGATGATAGGTGCAGGATCATAATTAGGGGGTCACATCTGTCACAAATTAACACTTGACCTAAGCCTTAATTCTTAAAATATAACCTTTATATACACTCATAGCCTCAAAAGCATTCTGATGACATGTTATATCTATCAGTAAAATACAGAGGCATTAAGTTATGTCATGCTCCCAGCAGCTACTGAAATACAAAAATCCAAGTCTGCACGGGCAAGTGTGGCTTCTATCAATGCAACTTTGCCCATAGCAAGAAACAACTCCATATATGAAGTAAAATACAAACGTCTTGTGGAAACAAAGATCAGGAAAAGCAAAATGCACATGAGATTCATATGGAGTAAACAAGAAAATTATAAATACCCCCCACTAAAATTACGAGGGATCATGATGAAATATGGAACTAATATCATAACAATAAAAAGTTTAGAGGCACAAATCAGGTCTGTTACAGCAGTGATTCTCATATGAATAATTAAAATTACAATTTGTATCTAAGAGAAAGAGAGGTCTTACCTGCAGCAGACTCAGTGTTATCATCATTTTTCACGGATTTCTCCTTATCTGAATACTCAGGTTTCTGCTCATCCTTCTTTAGAATGCAAACCAAGTCTGTCTAACAGCAATAAAATAGTGGTATGTTATACAATTCCCCTAACCATCACATCTCTTTTACCTTTGTTCAAAGATGGATTTCAATTTTCAAGACAGAATGATGAGGCCTTATGTTCAAAGTTTTACTCAATTTTCCCATACCCAAGTACCTGAGCTTAAAAAATAACAGCAAAGTAGAATACTTGCATATTCTAAAACAACATTATGATTCTTATTTCTAAATTCTAATGCAGAGAAACTGGAAGGAACAGCAAACGCATTGAGTAGACTGGTACAAAGCATGACTGAAACATAATCAGTTATTACTCAAAAGAATTGTCCAAATACTTAAATTTATAGACTGTATCTGTATGTTCTTGATCATGATTGTCGCGTTGAACATCACTGCAATAGGCTACAACATACAAGCAATCATGAAATTAAGGTGAATTGCTACTGAAAATGAAACAAGGGAGCATGGAAAAAGGTAATATTATCATAACTCAATAAGTAAAAAGGCCCACTTCAAGGCCACAAGAAAACCCATTCAGCAAGCAAAATCTTAACTGCAACATAGTTCTGCTGGAATACATTCAAATACTACAAAATTAACAAGCTTAAGATACCTAGAGAAGAAAATAATACGGAGTAACATACAATTCTAAGGGCTATTTCCATCAAAACTGTATTCTTTTATTCTTGATCAGCATCTTTATCCTTCTTTTTCTTCTTTTCCTTCTTCTCCTTCTTTTTCTCACTTCGACTTCCATCCTCTGTATCAGCAGCAGCATCACCGTTTTCCACGTCCTTGCTCTTCTTCTTCTTTTTTTTCTTCTCGGATTTCTCCTCATCAGTTGACTCTGCCTTTTCTTCTTTATCCTTCTTTTTCTTTTCCTTCTTAGACTTGGACTTCTCTACATCAGGAGTAACAGGTTCATCAGCCTCCTTCTTCTTCTTTTTCTTCTCTTTGACTTCCACAACTTCCTCTTCCTGAACTTTAATCTTCTTGACATCACCAGCAGGACTAGCATCAACCTCCTCCAATTTCCTCTTTGACTTCTTCTCCTTCTTCTCCTCTACTACCACATCTTCTGCTTTCGCTGGTTCAGCTGCAGCAGCAATGCTAGCAATCATGGAATCTCCACCAGTAGGAAGCACCACATTCCTCGCCCACTCAGCAGGAGTCTGCTCATTTGGCTTACCATGCTTGTCCAGCTTGCCCTCTGCAATCAGCTTCTTTTTCATCGAAGCCCTCGGCCCAAGCCCCCATTTCCTGGGATAAGTATCCCTATCCATAATCACCCTCTTAATCTTGGCAACAATCCCATGATCGCAAGTAGCCATGACAGCAGTAGTCATCTCCGCAATCCCCAAAGCAATAGCTTCTCCCTTAGTAGTCATCAAAACAACCTCCTCCCCAACCTCAACATCATTCTCAAACCTAAGCAACCCCGGAATCATCAACTTGGCACCATAACAAATTGCATTGACAGCCGAATCCTTGACAACAAGCCTCTTGTAGCTAGTCAAAACAACCTCCAACGGCATAATAACCCGCCTCAAATAACTCTCATCCCTGTAATTATCATACATCCATTGCGCATCCATGACATCGTGCATTGTAACCATATTATTCTTCTCCCCCAAAATACCGGAACGCACCCTCCTAAGCTCCTGCATATGTCCTCCCACACCCAACAACAAACCCAAATGAACACAGAGTGTCCTGACATAGGTACCAGCCTCACAACTAATCCAGAAAACAACCAAATGCCGATCGGCATCGTACTCAAGTAGCTTACTTTCATAAATAGTCCTAATCCTAAGTTGCCTTTTAACAGCAGAAATCAAAGGGGGGCGCTGAAATACGGCGCCGGTTAAGGTTTCCAAAGCTCTAGCAACTTTAGCAACATCAGGAACAGCAGAATGTAATCTAGCAACACAAACATACTCTTTTCCAGCACCCTGTTGAGATTTAACTAAACGGGTTGCTCTTTCAATACAAACAATCAAATTCCCAGTAACCTTAGGATCTAAAGTACCAGAATGACCAGTTTTTTCTACCCTTAAAATGCGCTTAATCCAAGCAACAACTTCATGAGAAGAAGGATTAGCAGGCTTATCGAGATTAAGAATACCATACCTTATGTATTCGGCAAGAGGTCGCTTCAATGGTGAATACCCAGATGAAAGAGGGGTGTAATGCCCAGTTCTAACATTCAATCTGTCGTAGTTTTTCAGGAGAATTGGCCACTGAGAAGTGTCGATTGATGGGGTGAAACTTTGGGGTTTGATTAAGAAATCAGTGTCGTTTTGGGGTTCTGAGTCTGTCGTTTTGGGGGTGTCAATGACGCTCTTGCTCTTCTTCTTCTTCTTCTTGTCTGAGCGAGAGATTTCGACGTCCGCCATTGTTGAGGTTTAGAGGAAAGAGTAGGTTTTCGACTTTGGAGGAGAGAGTAGGGTTTTGCTAGGGTTTGGCAGGAAGAAGACGGAAATTAACATCGAGTTACTTCTATTTTATTTCATTATTAAGCGGGCCGACCCAAACCCGTATAATTTGCCCGTCAAAAAAACAACTAAAATTAGGTAATTACACTTTGACTAACTTATGAGATTTATAGATACAATAAAAAAAAAATGGGAAATTCTTTTTGATGGACTCCAACTTTTTCATTTTCTAAGTGGTAAACATTCTTAAATTTTATTATCAATGTAAACCTAAATTATTGTTTACCATTGATAAGTGTTATTTCCTTAATTATAGTTAGTTTTTTATTTTTAAAATTATATTAAAAATATTAAAAAAAAAATAATTTAAAAAAAAACCAACCCCTCCTCCAACCCACTACCCAGCCCCCTCCCCCAACCCAGCCCCTTGCCGGCGGCCGGAAACCGGCGAACTACCTCCACCAACTCCGGCGACCCCTACCTCCTCCCTCTCCTCTACCTATGACACCTTCACACTCCCCTAAAACCCAAATCCATTTCCCCGACATGAACCAACAACTCCCTCGAAAACCACTTTCCTCCCCACCGCCGGTGTCCAGACTCTCCACCCCGCACCGGCGAACCCAAACCGCCCCTCCCCCTACCATCTCCACCCTCTGAAACACCACGTCGAACCCCAAAATTAAAAGCCCCAAAATCGATTTTTAGGGCTTCGATTTTGGGGTTTTAAGGTTTCGCGTGGTGATTTTTGGCTGGGCGGCGACGACGTGGGCCTAGGGGAGGGGACTTGGGCTGCCGACGAAGGGGATTCGGGTCAGGCGTCGGTGGTGGCGAGGAGGCTAGGTGGGTGTTGTGGGGAGGCTGTTGGGCTAAGGTGGCTCATTAGTGGGGGGTTAGAGGTGGTAGTTTGGGAGATGTCGGGATGGGTCAGAGGTTTCGGGTCAGACGTCGTCGGCACCGGGGGTTTGGTAGGGGTGTCGGCCGCCGGCAGGGGGAGGGGAGGCTTGGCAGTGGGTGGGGGAAGGGATGGTTGATTTTTTTAATTTTAGTATAATTTTAAATTGTTAAAAATAATTAAAAACCTAACTATTGTTAAAAAAAACCTAACTATAGTTAAATTTTTAATAAAATATAATAATTAATGTCATAAGTAATAAGTATAAAAAGTTAGAGTTTACCAAAGATAATTTTATAAAACTTTGTTTACCACTTAGAAAATGAAAAAATTGGAGTTTACCAAAGAGAATTTCCCAAAAAAAAAAAAGGGTAATGCTATATACAGCCCTTAGGGCTGCATATAAGCATTTAATATTTTTCTTTTGTTAGTATTAAATTGGAAATTTATCAACAATTCACGAGTAAATCGGTGTAATAATTGTATTTTTATTATCAACAATTCACGAGTAAATACTCCGTAGTCAAGTTGAATCGTCAATTTGAGATACTAATCGTTAAAAAAGTGTATTGATAATAGAATGATATCAAGTAAATAAAAGTGGAGGTAGTATATTTGTTCTAGCCTCGCCCAAAATTAAATGACTTAGGGTCGAGCCCAACTCAACTCAAGGCCCAAGTTTTATGTCAATGCCCACCTAAAATTGTTTTGGGCCGATAGAGCCAGATCATGTGTTATCAAGTTTGGTTTTATTCCTAATATAACTCTTTGAATATCAAAAATAATATTCACTGTGTGAATTTCCGTGCATGCCCGGCCCCTATTTCTTTCAAAGACAATTTTGTCCTTGCTCTAACTCCTTCCTCCAGGTCTCGTACAAGTATGGAGTGTAAAGGTTTGATCTTCAACTTCAATCCAAAACTCGTGAAACTTTATTCAAAGCTTAGAGTTGCAACATCAATTGATCAGGGAGATGGAAAAAGCAATTGCACCAAATCCCAATTTCAAAGCATTTGCTGTTTTTTTTTTAAGAGAGACCCAATTTTTCCCTCCAAGTTAAGAAATTTGATTACCTGAGCTTTGATAAAAACCCAGAAAATCAATTGATTTCATGGGTTGATTATTTTTATTTTTAGAATTTTACTAGTATTTGGGAAGTTGATTTGTATCCATATGAATTTAATGTTTATCCTCAAATCTATGATCAAAGTATCAGTGTACTTGGAAATTTGCAAAGATATCAAAAATCATTATTACAAGGTATTATGGACTTGTGGAGTATGAGTCATGCCAATGATGTAAAAGTTATGTTATTTTCTCTAAATTTATGATTTACAAATCATTATTACAAGGTATTATGGACTTGTGGTAGATGCCTTAAGGTTGTGCTACACAATGTTTACGCAATACCAAAACTTAAAACCCATGAATTTGTACAATTTCTCTAGTGAATATTGTGATCCCTTCTATAAAAGACAGTGGATATTGTATAAAAAACAATAAGCTATACAAGTTATTTTACAGCAAAAATTAAGTGGTAACTAGAAACTATTGCTGCTAGAGGTTTGCCCAGGATACATTGCCTTCTGAAACTTCATCCAACCTTCGTACATAAGGGGAAGGAAACCATCCTGTCTTACCACTGCATTCGCCTTTGGACCAGCCACCGGGAATCATCTGGATAGAAGCAAACAAAGCACCACACAAAAACGAAGTTGATAATCATTACAGTAATATGCATGACTGCATTTGCGAAGTGACTGATATTAACAATTAAGCCTCCAGCAATTGAAGAACATACCTGCCGCACCACGACAATATCACCAACCAGTAGACTCAGCTCCTCTTCGGCTTGAGCATCGAATGGGTGTTCAACCTGTGAAACAGATAAGATTAAATAAAAAAGACATCAAAGAAAAAATAAGCTTAGGGAAGACACAGCCTAAAATGAAAATGTAGAGTTTTTTAGTTTTTGACAGCAGAATATATAATCTAGTAAGTTAAACTTTGAAGTTTCTCACACCATCTTTACTGAAACCCAATTAAGAATTCCAAATAGAGACTAAATTTGGCGAAGATGTCAAATTTAAAATACATAGTGAGGATAGTTGTTAACATTCTTAGCTAAATCCCTTAAATTTAACCCCAAATGAAATGTTGCTTAGCCACTTAGGATATGTTTAAACCATTTATGCTAGTTGTAGAGAATCTTAAGTGTTATTGCTGTCAGTTTCTCTGTCTTCAGCACAAGTACATCTATAGTACAGAGACCATAATTTAGTGGGGTGGGCAAGTTGGGAAGAGTCATACTCACAAGTTTAGCAATCTTACTTTTGCAACATAGCATGCACCATCTTCTTGTTCTATGTAATGCTCCTTGCTTCCATTTGAATGGCTCTGTGCAGCATCTTCTGGAAGCGATGACTCGCACAATTGTTCCAATTGAATCATCTAAAATACAAGAATCGTTTACAACAAAGATCAAGACACATTTTTACTAGCATGTGGTTTCATGCATCAGAATCAAATGGTAAAAGGATATAAAAAACAGATGCAGAAGACTAAAAACTGATGCAGAAGAAATATGCAAGGTAACAAGCATTCAGTGTCACAATAAACAAGAGAAATTTCCAGAATCACTTTACACTCAACAGTACTAAGCAGCTGAATGCAAAAAAAAAAAAAGAAAAAAAAAAGAGATAAATTACATACCTCAGGAAGAACCTTTTCCAACATTGCAAGAACATTGCGATGGTAAGATCTTTCAGCATTCAGCTGCAAGTTACAACACCCATAAACATTACCACAATCACTTATGAAGAAATTTAGAAAGATACAAGATCCGGAAAGGAACAGTAAATTCAATAAATGAATCTCCCCGATGACTGTTGGGGCTGAAACCATATCAATCCACCCATATCTTTTCGAGTGCCTCAAAGGTTAAATCTAGGCCTGGGAATTGAGTGCCTCTACCTTCTTTAATGGAAACATCACATGATGAATAAGAAAGAATAAGAAAAAAGGGTGAAGCATTAATCTGTTCCATTTTACATTCTTGATAAATTTCTCACTGGCTAAACATACAAGTCTTACTAGACTATAGGAGTCCTTTTACGCTGTCTGATAGAAGTAAATCAGAATCTTTAGCGGATGATAGGTGCATGATCATAATCAATTGACCTAAGTTATACACTAATAGTCTTAAAATTTAACCTACTGTACACAAATAGCCTCAAAAGCATTCTGATCATATGTTATATTATCAGTAGAATGCAGAGGCATTAAATTATTTCATGCTCCCAACAGCTGCTGAAATACAAAAATCCATGCACATCTGCATGTGCAAGTGTGGCTTCTTTCTGAGACTTTCGCTTAAAAACATGATCCAAAATCATTCAAATCTTCAATGTTATTCTTCACACTTGGTCACTTGTATTTTGAGGTATAGACAATTCTTCTATTTCCATCCCACTATTTTCACTTAACCTTTTATTTTAATCTCCATCTTCCCCTAAAGAGCTTTATATTGAACCCCTTGTAAAATTGTAGCGAACACCCGACTGAGAGTAACACAATAATGGGTCAAAACATGTGAAAATGTGATAATAACACATATTTTTATGGGCCCCCAAACATGGAAAATACGGGAAAAGAGACAGTAATTGGAAAAATTGGGAAAGTTGCTGAAACAGTCCCAAAAGATGGGGAAAAGGTTTGGAATAGTAGGGGGATGGATTTTTGACACTTTGGTACATCCCATATTACCCTTATTACTCGTTTTTTCGAGGTTTGGGGTTGTTTTGGACTGAAAATGTGCCAATTGACCCCGGAACATGGTGATTGAGGGGCAGTTTTTGTTAATTGATGATGAAATATGAGATGTGATACTTAGATTACAAACATGAATAATAGTATAATTATTATCCATAGTCTATCAATCGACACATCACATCACATCACATCAATCAACACACATGTGAATAGTAGTATAATTATCCATAGTTACATCATACGTAGTATATAACATGTGTTCTTTTCCAGATCCAAGCCATAGTGTCAAGTCACATCACATCAATATTATGGTTATATGACACCATTTCCCTTATATGAGATTATTATACTCTTATGACATCACTATTGTCAAGTCCCATCATATTATGACATCACATCATTATAAATATAATTACATAATATGACATCATTATACTTATATGCCATCATTAGATTCAATGACATCATTATTTTCAAGTCACATCACTTCAATATACTTTTATGACATCATTATATTCATATGGCATCATTATTGTCAAGTCACATCACGTCAATATACTTTTATGACATCATTATATTCATATGGCATCATTATTGTCAAGTCACATCACTTCAATATACTTTTATGACATCATTATATTCATATGGCATCATTATTGTCAAGTCACATCACTTCAATATACTTTTATGACATCATTATATTTCAAAATTTCATGAATTTCAAAATAGAAACTTTATAGATATCTTTATAGGTGTGTTATGGTTTCAAACCACCTTAAATGACCCAAAGAGTCACCCCACACATTCAATTCATTTTTTGAAAAAATATCAAAAACTGACCCGAAATCGTGTATTATAGCCTTCAATTTTGAACAATTTTTCACTTTTTTAGACCCAAAAATAAAAATTATCGAGATGCTTCCCATGGCCCTTAATACACCCCAGGAATCCATTTGGATGGGTAAAACCATCCAATATGCCTTTAAACTGTCAATTTACCTGTTTACAACTTGCACCACTTTCATACACCCAAGGCTACCAAGGATATTTATGGCAACATAATGATCATATATGGTTCCAAACGACATTATATGACACTAAGATGTATCTCCTTTCATCTCGAGACTTTTCGGCACCGGGTCCCGAAACCTTCGAAATTGGCCAAAAAACGTGTATTATAGCCTTCAATTTTGCCAATTTTTGACTTTTTTTCACCCGGAAACAAAAATTGCCGAGAGGCTACCCATAAACCCTAATACCCTCCGGGAGTCCAATTGGGTGGGTAGAACCATCCAATTTGCCTTTAAGCATCCAATTTACCAGTTTCCGTACACGCCTCTTGTATTGGCTATAAGCTTCCACGGGGCCTTTATGTAGCCGACTTATGGTCGTCTATGGGTCCAAACAACATCATATGACCTTTGGATGCATCCCGTAAAATTCCGTGAATTTCCGACACAGGGCCCAACACCTCCTAAATTGCTCCGTTTTCGTGTATTATAGCCTTCAAATTTGGCTTACGTACATCATTAATTTTTTTACCCGGCAAGATTATGCATCCAAGTACTTCCATGGGTTCCCAAAGGATCTTGGGAGTCATGGATAATGCCCAGAACCATCTCATTCATCTTTAATCATGTCTTAAGGCAACGACGACATACCCTTAAACGTCAAAACTAGTTGTTTGTATTCCTTATCCTTGGGTGCACCGTGCACATGTCTTGTGCACATGCCACACGCCCCCTTGCACCATCTTACACCTTAACACTTTGGCTTTCTGACTTGTCTCAATCCACTACTTAGCATTTTTTAACATATAAGAAGCAACGCTAACCTCGTTTTCCAAAATATAGGTGTTTTTAGGGAATAGGGTTGGGGGGGACGAATCGAAGCGACATAGGATTGAATCTCAATGGATCATGGCAGCAAGGCCACTCTGCCACGTACTTACCCCGTCGCGTATTTAAGTCGTCTGCAAAGGATTCAACCCGCCACTCGATTATTTTCTCTTAACCTTTTATTTTAATCTCTATCTACTTCCAATAAATGAGTCTACATTTAACTGTTATTCTTAATCTACATGCCCAACTCTAATGTGTAAAACATTTAAAGGATGGAGGGAATATCTTGGAAATGAGTAAAGTGTCATGTATGGTATATGTAATTAATTTGAATACTTATGCATAAAACTATACTCAATATTTATAAACAATGTTTAAAGTTGACAAAGATACAGGAGTTTAGAGTTCCAATATGCAGCTAGAAACAGTTGATGGGGAATAGAAAGACTATACCATAACAACAAGCTGATGGAAAGTCATCTTTTGCTGATGTGCCTCTACTGACTGCATTGCAGATGTTGCTTCCTTTCCAAGTGCCAGCAATCTAGATTTAAGATAATCCAACTTTTCCTCTGCATTCTCAAGTTTGACGAAGTTTTCCTCAGATTTTGCTCCCTCAGTGGACTTTGACCTCAGTCTTAGTACATCAGCTGCCTACTGAGAGGCCATATAAGATTCAGAATGTACGTTGACTACTGGAAATAATATCATTAGAGGATAGATAGCGGCTACTTAATTAACTTTCAATCAACTTATGGATTAGTTTTACTAGGACAAAAATTACAACCTGAGCTTCCACTTCCTGCCATAACTTGTCATATCGACGTACAAGAAGCCGAGCATCCTCAAGCTCAGCACTTCTTACCAGTGCTTGCAATGACTTGCAGACCTAGAAAATCAAAATGAAACAGTATCTTCAAATTTCAATTCTTGACAAGATCAATCAGAAATATAACTCCCTTGCACTTAATTCCAAAAGAAAACCAACTCAAATATGTGAGCTTTCTACACTACACACTAGATAAACATATAGGAATGGAAAGATGGATTACATAACATGTTATTGACAATGAAAATCTACGCAGCTATGCCTATATAGTTATATCTTATTTGTATGTGACAAAATTTCCTAGTACAGATTACCTTTTCATTAAATATTCCTAGCATGGTCTCCTTCTCTTCTACCATTAAACTGTGAGAGGTACCAACACGCGCTGCAGCTTCTGTCAAAGGGGATGTGCTACAATGGCTTTCTGCTCCATATCTGCAACAGTCTTGAGCAAATTTTCTCTCTGCATTAGAGATAATACCGTCTTAAACCTTGCACATAGACACAATAACAATCGTGGAGGTTTAAGTAGGCCAACCTATTTCAATTTGCTTTGAAGTAACTGATGTAATCCCTTCTATGCCATGTACTAAGCTCTTCTCAAAATGCTGGCCACAAAACAAAAACATAAGCAACATCATAAAAAATGTTAATTTACTTTTGTTGATGAAAATGAAAATGAAGTTGTAGGGAAAATTTCCAGCACAGATTCCAAAGGGTTCTTAATTAGAAGGCACTTCATTTCACCATTTACCAAGAGGGCAAGAGGCCATTATAATGTACCTTGGCTTCTCGCGTAGAAGTGTATAGCTTGTGCAGTTGGTCACGGCATGAAATCTCTGCTTCGTCTACTACAAAGGCTTCACCACCAAAGTGCCCAAACTGTCTAAGAAGAGCCTGTAGAAGATGCCATTAGTCCTCAATCTTTGCTAAATTTGGCCAGCATAATGATTGTTCATGTATGTATATATTCCAACAATAATTGAGTTAACTGTGCAAGTCTTAATAGTTTTCAGCTTAAAATTAATCTTATAATTCCATTTATGTCAATATAAATTCATAAGATTATCATTTTATATAGTTCTACACATATACATACAATAAAATATGGATTCATGGTCTAAATTCATTAAAAAAAAAAGTCGAATGTGTTCTATTACTTGACTAGGAATGAGTATTAATTCTGTTGCTAACCAATTTTCTCTGCCACAAAATTAACATCACCTTTTCAACTTTTGTCATCAAAGAGACAATGAAAACACCATTTTACCATTTTTTTTTTTTTTTTTTTTTTGGTACTCTCTTTGTAAATCCTTTCCCCTTCTTAAAATCACACATTTTATTAGACAAATCCTATTAATTTTAAGAAACATATCAACTGTAAGATGGTTCCTTCAACTGTAGTACTAACTCAAATTCCAAAAACTAAAGTGTATGTCACCAAGTTTAGTTGGTAACTCCATAATACCTAAAACCGGGGATCGAATCCCGTCTACATAACATGTCCTTTTTAATTTGTTCTGGAAAAGTTAGTAGGCATATAATTATAAATCAGAATTCGTTAAATTTACAAGACTTTAAAGGAACAGGCTCATTCAAACAAATTCTGAGCAACCATGAGTATTCCATCTAGCCACTAGGTGGGCTACAATGTTACATAACATTTCTTTAGTAGCTAGTTATACATCAAAATAAGTGCAAAAGCTAAAAGCTCGACACCCATATATAGTAAGCCGTATCACACTATTTAAATACATCATCCAAGATTCTGCTACCCAGATCACAAGTAGTTATTGATCATGATTGCAAATACATAAACAATTGTATAAATTAATAACAGTTAAATACTCCAGTACAAAATTGTTGAAATAAACATCAAATTTTTGAGAAAAATTACCTGTTGTTGCTTAGATACTTGATCTTTGAGCTTGTTAGCTTGCCTTTTAATGGCTTCCATTAAATCTCTCTCTAAAAAAAAAAAAACCACCCTTTTGATTTATACTCTTTCAATTTCAAGAATAAATCATTGAAGGTGGAAATAAATTTATAGCATAAGACTTGTTTTTTTAAAAATTAGAAAAAGGTTTGAACTTTAATAAGACATTTGTTTATAAAATTGGGATTGCGGTTGAAAAAGGTTGAAAAAAGTGAGGAATTATTATTGGGAGTGGAGTGGTATTGGAATTTATTATTGAGAATATTATTGGTCAGGTAATAAAATTTTAAAAAATAAAATAAAAATTAAGGTGATGAATAAAAGAAAAAGAAAAAAAAAAGAATTAAATTCTTGAATGTTGGAGATATTATTGGATGAGCCCTTTCCTTAGATAATATTGGGAAATTATCTAATTCCCAAATTAGAGCTACTCTTTTTTTAATTCTCATTATACCGTCCACGTCAGCTAAGGAAAACAAACCAATTTTTTTTTTCTTGGTCTAGCAACAAACCGCTACTTCAAGTAGCGATTTTAATTTTGTAAACCGTTACTTCAAGTAGCGGTTTCCCTCAAAACACCGCGGTTTATGAAATTAAAACCGCTACTTCAAGTAGCGGTTTATGGGTTTGTTTTGTAAGTTTTTCTTTAAAAACAAAATATCTGTAAATCAGTAATTAGTAAATACAAATCGCTACTTCAAGTAGCGGTTTACATATTAGAAACCGCTACTTGAAGTAGCGGTTTTCAGTAGCACACCGCTACTTGAAGTAGCGGTTTTCTAATAAACCCGTTTTTTAAAAAAAATCCCACTGAACCGGTGACGTGGACGGTAGGGTGGGAATTAAAAAAAGAGTAGTTGTAATTTGGGAATTAGATAATTTCCCAACATTATTTAGGGAAAGGGCTCTTATTGGATCAGGGGTCCAACTAGTGTAAACTGTAAAGGAGCTTATTCTTCTGAGAAGTTGAGAAGCATCTCAGGCAACCTGTATGCGACAAGACTCACAAATCACAATAGGTCGGGGTGCTTCCTAGTTCCTAACTTCCTATACATAACCTTCATTTTGTTTGGACAATTGTGACCTTTTCAATCCGGTTAGAAACAGGCTTGTCGAGTTGGGGTGTTTTTCATGAACCCCAAGCTATTTGAGTGGTTAAAACAATTCATTAACTAAAAGTCTCCACGAGTTTTTATGTGATTGATTAATTGTCACATATAGTTGCAAACGACATAGTATAACCCTGAGATGTATATCCTACCATTCCAAAAGTTTTTGACAGCAAGTCTCAAAACCTTCTAAATTGGTCCGAAAGTGTGATTATCGCCTTTGAAAATTTACAACTTTTTCGAACTTGAAGATGAAACATGTCGAGGTGTTTTCCATAGACCCCATGAAACCTCGGGAGTCCATTTGAGTAGTTAGAATCGTCTCCTAACTTTAGTCAATCTAACTGTTTAAGTACACGCCACCCTTAATCACCTCAAGACAAACAATCTTTATGTAACCGACTATTGGTCATATATTGTTCCAAATAATATCATGTAACCCCAAGATTGTATCACCAACAATCACGAAAGTTTTCAATGCTAGATCTTGAAACCTTCGAAATTAGTCTAAAAGCGTGAATTAGCGTTTAATTTTAGATATTATGTAATTTTTAACAAGTATCAACTTTATTGGGATTAGCAAAGGAAAAATGTCAAGGTGCTTCATATGGGCTATGGACCCCATGACACCTCATAAGTATATTTGGATGCTTGAAATTAAATCTTTTGCCCTTAAAATATCGATTTAGACATTTATACACCTTTAACTGACTCAAGACCACCATGAGCCTTTTATGTGACCGATTAATAATCGTATATAGTTCCAAACAACATTATATGAACCTGACATGCAACCCCTATTATCTCAAAAGTTTTCGACCTTATTTGTCAAAATATTAGACATTAACCTAATTAACTAAAATTCTCCTCGGATCCTCTTAAAGGTCACAAATGTTGACCATCTCTCTCCACTTTCTCACTCACAAAATCACAATACAATTATCATGAACTAAGTAGCCGTTGAGTTAACCTCCTTTTTTCACTCCCACCACTTCCCACTCCTCCCACATTTTCCTCACACACAAGTTTTCTCCCTCTCTCTCTCTCTCATCTTTTCTAGTTTTCTCTCTCTAAAAATGGCTGATTTCTCCTTCCTATCAGACACAGATGAATCATCTGCAGTTGAACAAATTTTAGCAGAAGCAATGGATCACTGTGTTCTTCAACAAGTTGCCGCCATTAATTGCTCTTCTTTCTCTAACTCTGTTCTTCCTTCTAACCTTGAATCTCGTTTTCAAAGGCTCAAAACCTTCCCTTCTTCTTCTGCTTCTTCTTCCAATCCCTCGAAATCTGTGCCAAAACCCCAATTCGGCCCTAAATCAGCCAGCGAATTGAAGAACTCAGTGACTGAATTGAAGGATGAAAAACCCATTTCTGATGATTCCGTAAAAACCCCAGAAAAAACCCCAGAAAAGGAAAAGAAATCTCTCAGAAAATCTGGTTCTGGATATTTATCTTCTTCTGGGTCATCGAATGCTTCATCTGGGTACTTGAATTCTCCCAATTACAGGGGAAAACAGGGTGTTAGAAAGGGTAAAGATGGAAACTTTTCATCCGGGTCATCGAATTCCGGGTCGAAAACTTCAACAAAATCTGTTAAAACGGGTTGTTTTTGGTGTTCTCCGTCTCCGAAACGGGTTTCTTCTCCGAAGCGGGTTTCGAGGAAGAAGAGTGATGGTGGTGGTAGTACTCGAAATGGGGCGTTTGAGTTGGGAGATGATTGGGGAAAACATGATGAAATATTGAGTGATTTGAGGTCATTTTCGGCAAAAAAGCAGAAGAATTTGATGAAGATTGCAAAGAAAGAAGAAGAGAAGATTAATAAAGAAGCAGAAAAGATAGTTAAATGGGCTAAACAAACTTCTGCAAGGTTGGATTTTTCTATCAATGATGATCTTAGTGATGATGACAGTGAATATAGTTTTGGGCATCATTGATGTGAGCAATGAGCTTCTCTTTTGTTTTTATAGTCGAATACGTGGCAGGCGAATGCATTAAATCAAATCAAATTCCGCCAAAGTTAGTAGTAAAACATGGCAGTGTCATACAATAGACTAGTAGCAATACTTTAGTAGTAGTAATACTGTGTTTCTATATTTGTTAATTGTTGCACAAAACAAATAGTTATATGAATGGTGTATAAATTTTACCTTTATATGTGGAAATTGAGTAGCAATATGCTTAATTTTGTGTTTTTGTATATGGTGTCATTGGTGTGGTGAAGGGATTGTGCAAATGAATGCATATGTTGCTAATTGCTTTTAGCTTCTAAAATAGAATTTGACAAAATAAAATTAAACACATGATGAGTGCTTGAAAAACTTGCTCCACAATACCAGTAATTTAACCAGATTCTTGACCATGCTTATCATGATGATTATCTAATGCTGAGTCTTCCTTTTTCGTCACTCGATTACTTCTTGGAGCACTCTTCCCTGTTTCACTTCTCAATTTGCATAAACAAAATGAATACTAGAAAGAATAAATAATTTCCATTTGAAATGGGGGTAGAATAATTATTTTTGTACACATGATTTTATGAAATAGTGGCAGCTTCTAATTGAAGTGCAAGGAAACTCTAACTCAGCCTTCAAGTTTCAAACAATACAAAGCATGGAATAACATTATTTGATGATATTGGCATACTGTCATCAGTTCTTAAGCACCTTAGTGCGATATTCACCAAGTGCCCAAATCGGGAAGATATTTCTGTATGCAGCGTAAGTAATCATGCAATTCCTATTGAAAACACCCATAATCTCCTGTATGATATGAACAATATACAAAACTGTCAAAATTAGGAACAATAATAACCAAAATCATAAAAAATCAAGAGGCTGATCCATTCTAGAAGAAGGGGAGGTTCCATATATGTGCAATCTTATCCTTAAATAGTCAAAAACTAATGGAGAGGTTGTGTCCAAAGAAGAAAGACACATCCAAATGCTAAAGAAGATTCGGCTTGGATTCACCTTATGGTGATATATATTGCTACATGAATGACATGCAAAATATTACCTGCTGTGGAAAATCTCCATTTGGCATTTGAGAATTTATCAAAACTTTAGCTGCTCGATGCAACACCACTGGATCTCTCTCAGCCTGCACAAAGTTGCAGCTTAAAGTGCTAAGGAACATCCAACTTAAAAGAATACAGCATATTTAAATGGTACATAAAGTCCAGATGAAACAGCAGAGCAGCTTTGAATACTAAAAAAAAAATCTTTGCAGATCATTAATATGATCATTCTAGATCTCAATTTCATATATACAAGTGAAATTAGTAGATTTAGTACCACTATGACTTTTTTGATGTATATTCTATCATTAATTGAGCTCAAAGAAGTTTACAAGTTTTAACTTATTTTTATATAAATTATAGGCAAATCGTAGGAAACATGAAAGCCTGAAAAACAAAACCAGCAACCTCATGCAAGTAAATTGAAAAGGAAGACTTTTTTTCATGGGGCTTAGGTAGAACATGGGGGAGGGGGTGTACCTCAGTACCTGCTTTGTGAAAAGATAAAGTAATAAGAAGTAGGGGGGGGGGAATAGTTCAAATAAGCAAATTTCAGGTGAAGGTGAAGGAAGCCTATGAATGCAGAAATATCGGCCAGCAAAATTCTTGGGGATGGAGTATTCATCTGTGAATATAAATGTTACTAAGGCAAAGTATACCTGCCCAGCACCAATTAGAGCCAGCATTGCCCATCCTGTATTCACTACATGAGCTTTGTCGCCCTCGATATTTGTGTATACCTGGGAAAAATGAAAAAAGGGAACAGAAATGAACACTGAGCATTGCTGCAATGTGAAGGAAATAGCAGGGGAAATGCTACAATTTGGATTAAGCAAAGACAGTATTTTTTTAACAGAAAATTTCAACATGCATCGTTCATCATCCATTTCAGATATTAGATTGAATCATAGACTTTCAACAACATTTATAGAGAAAGACTCCAAAGCACTTTCATGTAGTACCACAACATGTAGACATTATTTGTTATCTCCCTGAATTTAGCCAGGGAAATGCAGAACAGCAAATTTTGATGAAACATTTGACTAGATATTACAGATGTCCTGAAAGTTGAATTTCTGGAAGCCATTTGCCATTGAACTTATGTTCTCTACGCTATTTTGAACCTTACCTTGTTCTGACATGACAAATAGCTCTCTCCCCAGCCACCTGAAGAAAGCTGTTTAGATAACAAATAATCACAGGCTTTACGAATGCTGGGGCAGTTGTCATAGTTCTTTCCAGCTGCAATCAATCCTAGGACCCCAAACCATGTTCCATATGTAAAGCAGACTGCCCAGGAGCCATACCTACAAAAACCTCTCAATGTAAATATTTTAGATTTATAGTGAAACAGCAGAAAGCATTTAGCAATGGTAGGTTCAAGGTTTGATCATTCAGTATGATCTCAGTTAGCAGAGGTTAGAGAGGATAGTTAGACAGCGCCAGTAAGTAGTGATAAATATGACTATATGAGATTAAAGAAACATGAAACAAACCATGAACCGTCTGCTGCTTGTATCTTTTCGATAAACCTAACAGCCTGTTTGATGCAATTCTCTATCTCTTCTCTTCTATGACCAGGATACAATCTTTTGAATGAAACTAGGGCTTGAATAGCAGCTGAAGTACACTCAACATAACTACAAATAAATCACAGTCAAACTCAAATCCTTATGATAGAAAATAAAATCAAAAGCTCGAGTAAAAGAAAATCTCGTCACTTACGGATAATCAATGACGATGTCACCAAAGGTTTCAGCTGGATTTAGTAACTGAAACAGAGAACGTGCATAGCATATAAGATTATTGGACACGAATTCAATTTAGAACTTAAAACATATAGCAATGTAAGCATAAAGAAAACGACACCAACAAACCCACAGCAATTCAAATCCACATCAATTCAAACCAAGAATTATAAGTGTTACAGGTGAGCTGGCCTTTGTTTTTTCAGGCATCATCCATCTATCAAAAAACAGAAGCAAAATCATATCTGGGAATTAGTACGCTAACATCCCTGGAGGACTGCTTGGAGCACAATAAAGAAGACAGAGTCCAGACAGCTGATGGTCACCTAATAAAAGTTGATGTGGACTTCTATAAGGGATGAAAGTATTGACAAAAATGGACTAGTACATGTCAACCTATGGATATTTCCTCCGGATATGCTTGGTAAATAACTGAATCCCAAATCAAAGTAAATCTTAATGTAGCAGATGGATTTCATTTCAGACACCTATCTTAGCAGACTCTATTCATGAGTAGTGTTTAGTGACAGTTCAAGGCTTGAGGTATGCAAGATACAGATATCAAGTCAACGAGGTTCGCCAGAAATGCATACAGAATGCTCGGTTTATCGAAAAAATAACTAGCATTCATCTGACCTTAATCAATCTAAGGGCTCTATCAAACCTCTTTCTGTTAGATCTTCTGGCTAGATGCAACCACATTATTGTGCAGACATGGCTAACCAATTACATCTACTCTGCGGCTATCTACATTTAATAGACCTGGCTAATCTTACATTCCGGAACATTTGAAGATATTAATCTATAGCTATTGTTGACTACGGTATCTACAATCTACAGAAAGCCACAAAGGAAGAGCAGAGAGCCAGTTACAGAACAGGTAAAGATGAAAAGAAGTGAAAGAAAGGGATACAGAAGAATAGAGAGCTTTGACAAAGGCCTGTATATGATGTAGCCGAAAAAGACAGAGCTGAGACAAAGTTGGAGGTTGCACTAATCAGTACTATAAAAAAAAAAAAAAAAAAAGTGAGCCATGATTACATTACTATAATTACATAAATCTCCAATGTTAAGGATTAAAAATGGAATCCAACATGGAGGTTGCACATATAATGAAGCCACAAATTAAAAACCAAACTGAAATACTAGATCACCAACTACTAGTTCTTTCAAAACTAAAGAAAAAGGCCTATTTCCTATCTAGATTCTAGATTCTATTAGTCCCATTGTGAATCAGCAAGAGTTAGAACACATGCCTTACATCAAAAAGTTAATCACGAAAAACAAATCAACAGCACAAACAAAAAGGAGACAGTACCTCTAACCAAGGGTAGGATCGTGTAAGTTCATATGTTGCAAACCCTCCATCCTCATTCTGTTATCAAGAAAATAGAAATTTATCATCATGACCAAAAGCTGATATCCATAGATGAAACTTAGTATTGAATTGAAAAAAGATCAAACAAAGAATTGACAATGATCACAACATTTCAGGATGAACTTTAAGACAACAAAAAGTATTCAGAAAAGAAGTAAAATACTAAGCCTGCCCAAGGGGCCATCATTTCTTGAAAGGGAAAGTGTTTGTTGGTTAAACAAGTTCCAAAAAATACATTTATACACACTACCAGCCTACCAGTCTTCATTTGTGCCTATCTCAAGAGCTCTTACCTATACTTAACAACCAATGTTCATTCATTGTACATGTTGTAGATGGCCCACAATGTTATCAAAGGGGTAACAACATTTATCCTCACACCATCAAACTTAAATGCCAGTGAAAAATTAATTTCGGCACTTCAAGAAAGTTAGTTCTTCAGAATGGATTCTTGGTTTCAGCTTACTGGCAAAGAATTCTAGCATGATGTTATAGACTGGAAGTTCAGAAAGGTAGAAATGAGGGAGAAGAGAGCTTGGAGAAGATTGATATTTGGTAGTAATTCTACGCAATTAAATAGATATTGCAAATTAGCAGCTAAAGTTTGCATGGATCAAATGCAGCAAATTCCCTCCCCCCCCCCCCAGCAGGGCTACCTCAATCTATAACTTTAATAAAAGCCGCTTGTGCTCATATACTGACCTAAACGGTATGTCAAAATCCAAGGACTATGAAGAAGATAGGAGCTCAAGGGAGTATCTTCAAGATACATTCTATAACCTAATATATTTTATTCAATATACTTTCTGAAAAAGTGAACACAGTATAATATAATATAGGAAAAAAAATATATAATTAGTGCACATTTAATGGATAAGAAGATAGTCAAGTGATATAATTACAGTTTACTCTATCGAAATTCCACCAGTAGACACAAGCACCATTCTCGAAGATGATTTTAAACAAAATTTTAAAGAGAAAGGTAAAGCAACGAGCCTTCACATTCAAGACTTTTGGAGCAGCAGGAGATTAATTACCTGTAATGAAAGAATTACATTTACAGCATCATAAAGACCCTTCACTTCTAATGGCTCACCAACTATATCTGAAGGATATTTTGATAATAAAAGAGCAGCCTGAAAGGTGGAAAAGGTTAGACTCTGAAATACACATTCAAAATAAAACTAATTCTGGCTCAGTCATTACTTTCAATCCTTCTGCTGTACAATCCGAAATGGGCCATCCGTGATCCGCAGTAGAGAAAGGCCAAGCCCCTTTAGAGATATGGCGATACCAATAACTAAGATCCCCAGGACAATCTTCCATAACCTTTAATTAAGAAGAAAATATTGAATGAAGAGAAATACGAAAATTGATCAAGGTTCATAGGAAATTGTAAGAAAAAAAATAGCATAGTGAAGGAGTACCTGTGAGTCTTTTATAAAATTATGTGCTTTTTTAAGAGTTACCCCATATTCTTCTCCAAGATTTGTTGCTAAAATTGCTTGAACAATAAAAGACGTATCCCATAATTGGCTACCATTGTAACCCTGCATTATACAAACAGGAAGTCCTGTGAAAAGGCAGATTATGCGATAACTAAGGTTGACCTGAAAGATAAGTGATACGAAAAAAAATTATGGTGGCAAAAACAAATGATGACCTGCATTTTCATGCCATCCTCTGCAACCCAAAGAAAATCAGGAATTCGGGGAAGATGTAGCTTGAAAGCCTCTGAATTTGGATCTTCTACCCAACAACAAAGCATATTTAACACCTGCAAGCCATTGTAAATTATTTAGAAGAAAGATGTATAAAAGGTGTGATTATTCAAATGTGCGTTCTAGTATCTTTTAACGACATATATTCAAAGGAAAATAACCAAAAATGTGATATTAATTGGATTAATTGCCTTAAGTGAGATAAATACTTACAAAAAGAACAAACCAATAGTCCTCCACGATTATCAGTTAATAAGCATTTAAAAAATGATAAAAAGGAGTATTTGATAGGTAAAACTGAGTTTGATCAATACAGCAAACAAGATACACAATATCACATAATCATATGACATCACCTATCATTTATATATAAGTAACACAAGGAGCGAAAATCTTAAGGAAACTTCCTAAACCCTAGCATTGGGAAACTCGGTCATTGTTTTCTGAACATAAATGAATATAAAAGAAGCCAAGGGGATCCCATAAAATGCACATCCCACTCATCATAGTTGAAGAGCCTCTTTATGACTGGATCATGGGAAATGGTCTTTCCTCCAAAGGTAGATTAACGAGGTTACAACAACTAAGAATGGAGAAATTACAGCCACGACCAAAGTAAATCACAGGTGACAGCCTGGTCTAAAAAAATACGTAGGTTCTGCTCTAGCCATACAGTCAATAAAGTAGCTATTATTGCACTTTTTCAAAGCAACCTCTTTACCTTTTCCCCACCAAACCCCACAAAATGGAAATATAATTTTCTAGGATATATACAAGATCCTAACAGCGTTTACACTAGTAATGTATAGTAGTATTAGCACTTTTCCATTTGATTTAAAGATTATAAACAAGACTTTAGGAATCTTGACATCCCTATTCCTTGCCTAAGTGGGAATCCCAACAGCTATTTTAGTTGTGAAATCTTTTTCTACAGGTTTATGCTTGGCTCATTAACATTGATCATACAGGCTGCTAACATACATAGATAACACTCCAGGATTGATTTGTAGACAATCAACAACATGTATAACATAGATCTTACAGGATGTTATCTAGCCTATTTAGCTAAGCAACACAGGAAGAAAGGTATTTTCCGTAATTGTTGGTTCTGCTATTGTTGCAGACAAGTAACTTTATGTCAGCTAAGTACTATCCTTCTAGGCTTCTAAATCAAACAGCTGAAAAGGATAGTGGAGTTCACATTCAAACCTTGTTTACAGGCCCAATGCATATATACCGAGTGTTCTCATCTTCATAGTGTATGTGCTCCATGACAGTGGAAAGTGCCTTTTCTCTCAACTTTTTTCCTGGCCATCGCATCAAAATAGGTTCCACAACCTTGTGAAGGGATGCCCAAAGTATATCCTGTACTAAGGGGTGGGGATAGTATAGATCTTCCTGCAGATGAAATCAAAAGATTTTGAGTTAGGATGCTAATATACAAATACCCGAAGGAACAAAGTGCACATACAGTAGAGAGGTCAAACTTCTCAAGAGCCAATCCATGCATACAATTCCCCATTAGCTTTAGGGAAGAAAAAAAAAAAAAAAAAAAAAGCCTATTCATAAGCCTCAATGAATGCAATTAGACAATTATTAAATGTGCTATTTCATTTCTTTCCTTTTTCATTTCTTATATTGCTTTCACTTTTCTTAGGAGAAATTCAAATAAACCTTTCCAAGCTCCCCCACCCCCCTCCCCAACTCCCCAAACACACAGGAAAGAAATACATAACCTTGTTAAATTTTCTAAAGACAGAACATTTAAAAATTGCATGATACAATCAACATTGTCTATGACATGCCACTCTAACTGCAATCATTCTATAGATTCTACCCTTCACTTAACATTTTATTTGGTTGCACTCTTACTTCAATTTAAAATTGTTACAATAAATCTCCAGCACTTTTTGAGGTATATAATTCCGGGAAGGCAATATTCCTCAGCCAGGTCCTTTTATTCTCTAGTCCTGTTCAATAATTTGCACTAGCAAATTGTTCACACTATATAAGGCTTTACGTCCCATATGTTGTGCTCTGATAGCATATAAAATTTATTAACAATCTTTACCTTAGCACATTCATTACGGGCTTGATCCCAATCTACTTCATGATATGGGATATTGAATAGCTCTCTTCGCAATGACAAAACTGTTGGTGTTATAGGACCCACAAATCTCTTTCCATATAAGTATGACATAGGCAAATAAACCATTCGACAGTGACACCACATTCTTCCTGCATAATCAAGAGAAAATACCAAAAATCAACATCTCAATGACTAAAATGGTACCATATATTGTTCATTCCATGTAAATGTGCATGCTAATTGACAAAACAAATTGATCCTAGAAGTATGCAAACGATCACCGGGAACTAAAAATGGCTACTTACAAAAAAGAAATCCAAAAACTTTAAATAAAAATACAGAAGTTTCGCTCATCCAGAATTCATGAGAAAATTATGGAAGATTCACTCATTTCTTAAGAGATAGTAAGAACCTGGATGAATAGGAAGAATATACGGTAGAAGCCATAACTCTGGAGGCATTGGGTTATTCCCGGCCCAATCAAAGACCCCGAGAACCTGTTATTTTGTCAAGATAAATTAATTTATAAAAAATATAATGAAATGAAATTACAGTTCAAAAAAGGAGAAAATTTAAAAACTGAACTGAAAGCCACATTTTCCCCCATGATGTGATTGCAGTGGCACTTCCATGTTCCAAAATCCATTTGCGTCCCCTCTCCATTGCACCATCACCATCATCAGCTCCTTCACCAAGCAACCTTAAGGTAACATACGTCAAAACAGTACCAAACATGGTACTGTGACCTTCAATGTGCAAACCCCACCCACCATCTCGGTTCTGCAGCCAAATTACCAACAAAATAGGCATTAGACTACAAGAATTATTTACACTCTACACATATACAGACTAAGGCTCTGTTTTGTCTGAACTTAAATCACATGAACTAATTTTACATCTGGATCAATTCTCAATGCATTAAAACTTATATGTGAGTATTTTCACTATAGCATAACTTAATGAGTTACCATAATTTATCTCAGCCTATCTTGTCTGAGATAAGACAAAAAAGTTGAAATAAACAAAAGACTCTAATACCAACATTTGCTCTGCCTAACCCCCCCCCCCCCCTTTTTTTTGAAATAAAATGGAAAAGGTAAATTTGGCTATATTCTTACTAATATCCATATCAAAATAGACAAGAAAAAACATATAGCCACCCCTAGGCCCAGACTATGATTTTTTTTTTTTCCCCAAATTGACATCCAAGCCTTTATTCAGAGTTAAGCTTACCATTCAATTGAAAAACAACTCAAAGTCCCACAAAGCAATAATTTCCGTAGTTTCCTCACCTGATGGTTGTAGAGGTAACGACGCATTTCCTTTTGGTGCTCTTCTGATAAGACTGCATTTAGAGCTCCGGTAATTGACAAAGTAATTACCTGATGCATTAAATCAAATTGAGCATTCAATTTAAGTCAGATTGCAGAGTTCTGCACTTTGTTAATTAGCAACCATCAAACCATACCACATGATACCACTGGCTCTAATAGTCGTCACACTAATTCATTCTCGATAAACAAAAAAGGAAAAACAGTGTTCTTACCAAACCAGGCATCAGGAACATAGGACCACCATAATCACCAGGCCAGTGCCCATCATGCACCTGAAGAGTGGAATAAGAGTTGAGAGCCCTTCTCAGAGTGGTGGCAACAACTTCCTCTGTAATTTCATCTTCATCTTTGACTTTGACTTGAGGTAAGACAGCATTACTCGTATTTTCCTGGGTCAACTACAAATCATAACAGAAACAGAAAGAGATGCAAAATAAGACACAAAGACCATCGAGCTATAATATATGGTTAAAGGAGGAAAAGGAACGTCATTCTCACTATTTCTTAACACATCCAAAGTTGAATTGTTACTATTTACAACAAGGTTTGATGATGTAAGTCACAACAAAACTGCACATAATAGTTAATTACAATTGGATTGTTTACTACTCACAAAACGAAGGAAAAGAAATAACAATTGGTTTTGAATGTTTAAAGAAGCTAAAACTCAATCCCAGAATGTACTTTTCACAACTTCTAACAAGGTTACATTACATCTAGAGCTTTGAATAAGGCATTGAACAACGGAGTCATTGACCATAAAGGAAGCAAATGTATAAGATTTAAAATCTTGGTCTATGTGAAGGGACTTATGTTGGAATTGACAAGTGGTCCAACTAAGGCTCATTCTACTAGCACTGAACGCAAAAGACTTACACTCAAAGAATTAAGAAAATAATAGATTATAGAAAAAGAAAAAGAAGAAGCCACAATATGTAGAAAACTACGTCCATCTGGTTCAAAATTACATACAAGTGAAAATTTGCACTTTCAGTTGCCAGACAGATGTATCAATATGTATATACAAACACATAACAAGATTATTCACTGCTTAGGATGGTTTTGTTCATCTATTGTTTGATTTCGAGCAAGAAAGAAAACAGCACCATACAAGCAAAAGGAAAAGAAAGGGAGGGGGAGGGTTGTAATTAGCTCCTGAACTTGTACAAGTACCTGCATTCGCATAAGTAAATCTGAACTGTGCTTTTGTTCAAAACGGTTCTTCCAGTAGTTTTCACGAGCATCCTCGATCTCTTTAATTTGTTCAGGAGTTCCAAGATTTGGGTCGAACTCCCAGACTTGCCTACCAACATGATTGTTTGTAGTCCTTAGCCAAGGGCTACCCCCTTCTGCTATCTTCAACTTCCACATTTCTACTACAAAAGAAAGTCAATCAGCACATAAGACATGAATCAAAGGCATTTTTCACAATTATAAAAATTCTTATACTTATTCAAATGTTTTACTTGTATGAGCTAAACTAATGCAGCCACATTTCAGATAGAAATCCAACAGTTAGTTGCAAATGCAAACACATCATACACCCAAATCTCACATTACTCCCTAGCACTTTTAAACATTAGGTCAATTATCGAAGATGCAAAACCATCAAGTTGAACACTATTCACCTCATTTCCCCTAAAAGAAAATGCCTAGTTCAAATTTTCCCGGACCAAGAACTCACTTTTATCAACAAGTTCCAAATTATTTCAGGTTCTTACAATGCAGATAAAACAAACATAGAACTATAGAAAAACACCACAATAAATATACAAATTTACAATTTCAGATGCAATTTGGATCATAATCACTCCGAATTTTCGAGATTCTTAGGTGAAAATCGAAACGATGTAATGTAGAAATTCATACCCAAAATTAAATTTTGTGTAAACTTGAGTCAAGCTTAAAATTTGCTCTTACTTGATTTTAGCTTGATAATATGCGGGGCAATGGGTAAGACAGAGAGATAATAGTATAACACTATGACCTGTATATAAGCTGTTAATGCCTGTAATTGGGTCAATGTTTGCAAAATTTGACCATCAATTTCTCAAATTAATAGATAATGAATTTAAAATGCAGGCAAATTAAGCAAGACTCTTTCTACAAATACAATCATAGCTAATTAATTCATATAAGAAATGAGTGATACAAAGTTTCTAGTTGGATTATCAAATTACCCATAAAAATTAAAGCTTTAAACACTAGGAAATTACTGCAAACAACATTGATAAAATTAAATAAAAACCCAGAAAAATTAGATCAAAATAGTCTTAAATACTTAACATTTCAGTATTTCACATTGAAATTAATGTGTATAATATGAACATACCTCGGTGAAAACGTCAGGATCTCAAAAGGGGTGTGTGCAGTCAATGACTCGTGAAGTGATGAAGTATCTGTGATTCTGAAATCAAGGTAACGTCAGTAATATATGAATAAAATGATGATGATGATTCAACAGAGTATTTTGAGAACTTAAAATAAAAGTTAGGATTAAATTTAAATTCTTTCAAAATGGGTCTAATTAAGTAATTAGGCAGAAGATTGTACTGGTATTATTTTTGCGGTCCAAACTCTAAATGTAGTCACTTTAGCTTAAGGCTCTTTCATTGATATCCCTGATAGTGAGAATGAGGGATATCTTAAGTGGTTAGAGTTTTTTTCGGTTCCAATATATTTCGGGATCGATTTTCATCACTCATCCTTATGGTTCTCTAAACACTAAAAAAATATTTTAAAAAAATTAATTCTCCTGATTATTATTAAGATATAAGTAATGAGGTTTTTTGTGGGTTTTAATTGAGAGCGTTTAGCACGAAAACATAAATGGGAACGAGGAATTGAAGAAACAGAAAATATCAAATTATGTATAGAAGTATAAGGATATGAAGAATAATTCTATGAAAAACACTTTAACCATCACCATCAACCCTATAGCACCAATGTGCTGGATTATGAGTGGTTTCCAATGGGTGTGGTTTGGCGCTAGGACCTTAGTGATGGTGGTGGGTTTGACCCTACGACGGTGGTGGTCAATGTTGAGGCCAGGGATAATTAAGTGGTCCTAACAAATAATACGCAAGGGAAAGAGTTGTAATGATTCCTCTATCCTTTTCTATAGATTCTAATCAAACGCCTCTTGTAGAATCCTCTTTTTTTAATGATCGATAATTTTGTCATTTTTAGTACTATGTACTCCGTATTATGCTATGAAATATGAATATTTTCAATTCGTGCAATAAAAGTTGATATTGTGAAACTCATTATTTGTAGCTGTATATTAATTCAACAATTCACATTAAAATCAATTTTAGAAAAGGATAATAAGTACAAATGAAAGACACATAGAAAAATAAGTTCACATATAACGCTATTAAAAAATACCCAAAAAAAAAACACGTATAATTTCACCTTAGTGAAAATAAAATTGATAGAATATGTTGTCAATTGACCATTGCTCATTCCCTTGACTATATATTATAAGGATACTAATAAGAAAATTCTAAATACATATTAATGAATGAAGGTGTCAATTTGAGTGTTCGGATCGAGTTTGGTAATTTCGGGTTGAGTTGAGTTTATTTTTAAAATCAATCATGTTAATAAATTGTGTTCACACGGGTTAAAATCTGAATCGAATATCGAATCGATTTTGAATCCGGATCCAATGTGGTTTGGCACTTCTAAGAATCATCTTTTATTATCCAACAAAATTTCTATCTTATTGAAGTGCCATATTCAAAACATGCACTATAGCTGGTAGGTCAATGTGTCACTTTCTCTAATTCAATTCTTCCTTGAAATTTATAAATTCACGATCTAAATTTGATACTCTTGACTCTTATTTAATTTGTATGTGAAACTCAACTAATTCCGAGAACTTTTGTCATATTTACCCCAATAAATACTGTTTCATGAAACATTTGACAAATGGAAGGTGCAACTTTACAACAACGTGCCGCCACACTAGCAATAATGCAATATTAATGACTTCCTTAGTACCTTGAGTCTTTACTTCATCTACCACAACTCCGCAATGACACAAATGAACAATATACTACCTTCGTTAATTTTTATGTTCAAATTTAGAATATTTTATATCTCATAAATAATACTCTAAAATTGCACATAAAAATTAACAGAGATAGTAGATTATAGAGGTGACCCTAGGCCTCCTAGCTCGGAACAAGCTGGGTTCGAGTCAATCTAGAGTTAAAAAAAAAAAAAAAAAACAGCCCACTTAAGTTGGACCGGGCTAAGATTTGTGCTGAATTGTCCAAAAGCGGAATTTTGGATTGGGTTTAGTGGGCCTTTTCGGGAGCATAAAATGTAACTAAAATGTAAAAAAAAAAATGTTTGTCCAAGGCCCGTGAGACATTTAAAAAATTGGGTTGAGCCAAGTCGGGCCTAATTTTCCACATAAAATGGTCAGACTCATCATGAACACCTCCACCACATACGGGAAATATTTACGACCGTAATAACATGATAATCTAATATATATATATATATATATATATATATATATATATATATATATTATATATATATATATATATATATATATATATATATATATATATATATATATAAAATATCATATAATTAATATATAAAGCTAAACTTTTAGCCAGGCGACGAGGTAGCGACATTTGGCGTTCTAACTTTTCGCCAAGTGTCGCGTCACTTAGGATAGAGTTATATAGAATTCAGTTTGTAAAATAAAAAAGTTAATTTAAAATTCTATTTTCTATCAAATTTGGATAGAATTTTAGGATAAAATTGTTAATTTAGAGTTTTATTTTCGATAAAGTACCAATATTTCATATGTATAAATTAAATTATAATTTTATTAAAAAAAATTATAACACTCATAAATTATCATATAAATTTATTTTTTGTATCATAGTATTTTTTTGGAGCGAAGGAATTAGCTCAAAATGCACCACATCCATTATTTATAATTATATATTCTAATCAATTAAAACAATATACTTTACAATCTAATATAATTTTATTACTGTGTGTAGACCTGTCAATCGGGTCGGGTCACGAGTCATTTCGGACAGGGTCATTATTTCAGGTTACGGGTCAAGAAATATTTTTCACCAATGTTATTATTATTAGTCATTACATGCCTACTATATAGTTTAAATCATCACAAAAACACATCAATTCCTAACTAATTTTGTATCAATGATATGTTTTAAAATTTGAAATATAGAATAAAAATTTACTTAAAATTCAATAAACAACCCGGGCATCGCACGGGCACAAAACTAGTATATATATAAAGGGGAGTTTTTCCCCGAGTTTTTAGAGAGCCACGTAGGATTTAATTTTCTTAGCGCGCCATGTATGATTATAAATTTAAGTTGTAGCCAATTAAATAAGAAATTATTAATTTCTTTTACAATTAAATAATTCAAATGCCATGTAAGAAAAATTGACGAATGAGATTTTAAAGTTTAAATTAATTAAATACAAAATATTATCTTTAGAGATTTAATTTTTTAGCTCGCCATGTAGGATTATAAATTTAAGTTGTAGCCAATTAAATAAGAAATTATTAATTTGACGAAAGAGATTTTAAAGTTTAAATTAATTAAATACAAAATATTATCTTTAGAGATTAGGAATTTTATCTAATATTTTAAAACTTATATAATAACAATTTAATCACATAAATATGAAAATATTTTTTTTAATAAATATTAACAAATCGTGCATCGCACGGGCTTCATCTAGTATATATATATAGTCGTTTAATTTCAATGTAAAACAAAATACATCTAGCTTTAGTCACAAAATATATAATGGAGCAATTATAGTTAGTGTATGTTTTTAAGGCACTACCTATTTCATGGAATAAATTTCCGTGTAAACTATTTACCTTTTAGGGCTCTCTTGACCTCCAATTCTCCAAAATATATAAAGGGCCCAATCAAGTACTCCACACCATTTAAAATTTACTTCTAACAAAGTTGAGAATCGTAAGACCTAAAAAGCCACCAACCAAGGTTGACGCTTAAGAAGTTATGGGTGCTTAATCAAGGATATGTAGTGGAGTAGGAAGTTAGGAACCACGATTTTATACACTCCTCAAGCGTCACTAATGAATAATGATATTATCCTCTAAAAAATATCTTAACAAAACTGACGCAAATTGTTGTCTCTTTCTTTTTTTGTTCCTTTATTCTTCTTTGGATGACGACTAATCTTGTAACAAAAAGTGTATGACTATGAAGGTCTATGTTATTGCTTGATGTAACAGTAGAGTGTGACGACTTCATATATTTATGGGGTATCTAATTGGTCAAATTTAGGTTGTGCATCGACATACTGAGTTATGTGTTAACTTAATTTGAAAATCGATTGAGTTTCTGGTAAGTAGTACATACATAGATATAATAGTGATATCTTATTAGTTGTAATATTGTATTCGTGTTTCAAATTGTGATGTTGTGGTACGTAAACTGAGGGTTTATGTGATGTTTAGAATCAACATTCGTTCTTGCTGACATAAAAGCATCTTTATTTTTACTTACTATGTACTAACTCAAGTTACCGAGTATGAACATAAAACTAGCTATTCATCAATCTCCTAACAATGCTAACATTATCAAACATGCAAGTGATATTATGTGTTCATATTCTTATAATAAAAAATCCATACTATTATTGCATTTGTGTTCTCTATAAACCTTTCCTCTATCTTTGTCAAGCTAAGCTAGGCATTGATATTTGATATAATATCCAATTATTGACCTTTGATTAATCTATACGGACAAGTACAAAATCCTAGTCATCAAGGTTTGAAAAACATGACAATTAACTTCAATAATTCAAGTATTATAATAAATTGACCTAAATTTACACATCATCATATCATTCATGATATTAATTAGTCTTCACTAATAAGTTATTATAAACCATTGTTATCACTATATTACAATGTTATACCATAGAAGCAAGGATATATAGATAACCACACACTAATATCTAAGCTAATACATAATATCCATAATAATATATACAAATTTACATCATAAAATTAAAAAGATAATCTTATTCAACTCTTTCATTGGTGGTTGATCAAAACCACTCTAATAGAGTAGGTTACTTTACTTTGGACCTTACCTTATAAAAAAAACCATAATCCCTACAAAAACAACTTTTGGCATCATTTAATTTGCATGAAGATAAAGTATCATATCAAATATATCTTGACATTATATAATATATATTGCTTACAACATAAAAATAAAAACTTAGCAAAATTAGTAGAGTTGTTGGAGTAGTTGTAGAAAGTATATCAAATCATCTTTCATTTTTTTTAATAAAATCATTCAAACAACTATAACATAAAGTTCATATATATATGCTCCATTTAAACCTAACCAAATTACACTCCCTCGTTCATTAAATTCTCCCATATAATTTTTTTTGTTCATTTATTAAAAAAAATTTCCTAATGACAAAGGAAGTAAAAAGTGTAACAAAGGCAGAAAAACCATGGAGACCTATAACAACAAAATGTTGTTCAGTAGAGGACTCAGTGATCCTAGGGATAAATTTCGGTAGGAAGACCGGAACATCAGAGCTTATGTCAAAGAACATTGCACCGTTGCCTTCGTTTCGAAGGCTGGCTTATTCGGGCCACCTTAGCAACCTGAGTAGCTGCTCGTCGCAGCGGATAAACGAGGACTTGGCTCAGTCGTTTGGGCCGGACTTGATAGATTTTCAGTTGAGTGAGTTGAAGGCTATAACGCAGAATTTTTGTAGGAGTTATTTGCTTGGGGCAGGTGGGTTTGGAAAGGTGCATAAAGGGTATGTTGATGAGAATTTTAAGAGTGGGTTGAAAGCTCAAGCTGTTGCTGTTAAACATTTGGATATTGAAGGGTTACAAGGTCATAGAGAATGGCTTGTAAGTTTTTATTTTATTTGTTTGTCATATATGTTTTGTTTAACATTAATATAATGTTCGATCGGTCAATTTTGTTGACTTTTTTAACATCACGGGGTTTGTTTTAAAATTTTCAGAAGATTGTTTTATTGAAAAATGTCATGTCATATTGCATATAGTTAAGTAAAACTTACAAGTGACATATCAGTAATATTACTTTATTACTATGTATGTACAATGATGTAAGATTTCCAAATGCGTGGTAAAGTGGGTAATACGGCGAATATTGATTTATCTATTGATAATTACGATTAATCTACTATCATATATGAAGTACATATATATTTTATCATAGCTTCACATGTATGTAGGAGCTAATGATGATTGTTTAACAAAACACTTTAATTATGAATTTTGACTCTTTTGATTAAGGTTTCTTTGAAATGAAATGAACAATAATACTTATATCAATTCATTTGGTACGTTGTGTATTTTAAAATAATTTAAGGCGACGCTCCATTATGCATGAATTGTGGCTAGTTACCTAACAATCATTATTCATTAGTGGTTGAGTTTGTTTAATAATCAAAGAATTATATTGATTGACTAAATTATTTTGTGGGACAGTCTGAGGTGATATTCCTAGGGCAGCTAAGGCACAAAAATCTGGTAAAGTTGATTGGATATTGTTGTGAAGATGAAGAACGTCTCCTTGTCTATGAATTCATGCCAAGAGGCAGCCTAGAAAATCATCTCTTCAAGAGTAAGCCTCTAAATTAATATTGTTACGCGATTTTTCTGCAAGACAGTTGTACACAAATGTATCTGATGAGTATACTAGCTAGCACGTACTTTATAAAGTCATCCCGGTCTTACAATAGACTTTTATGCAAGATTTCACTTAGAGACGCGGTTGTTGTACATTGGCAGGGCTTTCCTTATCAATGCCATGGGGTACAAGGCTAAAGATAGCAATTGGAGCAGCTAAAGGCCTTGCTTTCTTGCATGGAGCAGAGACACCAGTCATATACCGTGATTTTAAGACCTCCAATATTTTGCTTGATTCTGTACATCTCTTCTCATCCTTTAAACCCTTTTTTTTGTTACAATATCCAATTTTTTATAGGTTAGTTTTTTTAAAAAATAATGATTAGCTTAAGGGAAAAAAAGAAGTATAAAAACTCATTATTTGTTCTGTTTTTGGGTTTAGGATTTCACTGCTAAATTGTCTGATTTTGGGCTGGCTAAGATGGGCCCTGAAGGATCCGATACCCATGTTACTACTCGGGTTATGGGCACCTATGGTTATGCTGCTCCAGAGTATGTTTCAACGGGTAATTTTTCACTTTTCATATACTAACTTTTTTTTACTTAAAAAGTTTGACTACGAAATTTTAAATGTTCATGACTTTCTATGTGTTATACAGGACACTTAACAACCAAGAGTGACGTCTATAGTTTTGGGGTGGTCTTACTCGAATTACTTACAGGAAGGCGATCAATGGAAAAATCGAGGCCAAAGGGAGAGCAACACCTAGTTGATTGGACAATGCCATACTTATCTAGCAGCAGGAAGCTGAGGTACATTATAGACCCAAGGCTAGGAGGGCAATACTCGGTGAAAGGAGCAAAGGACATGGCTCGATTGGCTCTACAATGTGTGAGTCTAAACCTGAAGGACAGGCCAAAGATGCCCATGGTTGTACAAACACTTGAAGGGTTGCAAATGCACAAGGATATGGCAATTGCTTGTGGATTATGGCCACCACCAAATACAAAAACAAGTCGAATTAATGGAAATTCTGCCAAAGGCAGGGGTTATTGTAAACCCTCACCTGTTGCACCAATTAGGAAAACATGATCATTTGCTAGTTGGTAAAATAAAATTATAAGAAGTATGTTATTATTAGTGAAAAGGGGGTGTACCCAAGTTATGATATGTTATATATGTTGCCATCATATATAGATAATTAGGTGTGATAATAATATGTTAGATCATGCTTAAATAGTTGTTAGTATAAGTTGTATAGGATATGTATTATATATGGTCCTACTTAGCAAAGTAAGCAAAACAACTTTTTATAGAAACTTTTTTTTAATGTGAGCAAGATTCAATTAGAGCACCTTTTTTTTTTTTAATTGTATAAATTAGTCTATATGAATGAACAAATAAAATACCGATTGCTTTCACTAATTAAACAATCGATAAAACAACCTAACTTAGTGTAGTTGGTTAAGGATCCAACTTGAATTGCCCATTACCGTGCCCCTCTCCTCCCAAGAACCTAGGCGCAATTTGAGGTGATAGGTGAGTAACTTGGATGATACAAGTTGGACTCTAGTCTAAAATCATTTCAATACCTAGGAACAAAACAACTAATGAAAACTATAGAGCAGATAGTTGATTGATATTTTGTATCAATTATAGATATTGATACTAATTTTTTCTTAACAACCTCTCTTTTCTTTGTACACGTATTTTATCATTGAGTACTTTTACAAACAAAATCCATTGAACTAACACAAATTTCTAGTTGACAATAATATATTGAATGTGTGACCAAATTAGGGTACACCTATGTCACTAGATCGAAAAATTATCCTTAAAAGCTTGGCCATAACAAACATACAAGTACATGACATAACACATACATAATAAGTACATATATAACAATTACCTCTATTCATTGGGCTCATGTTGTTAAAATGGAAAACAATAGTCAGCAAAATGGAAAGTTATAGCTCGAAGTAGACATTTGTTTATATATGAACAAATTGTTTTGGTAAAGTTGGACGACCAAAGAGTTTAATGTATTACATCACATTAAATTACAAGGAAAATAACAATAGAGGGTTCGTTCACATTATATATATTGTTGTTGACCGTAACTACTACCCCAAATTCAAGCTATCTTTACATGTAATTCATGCATTTTTAAATATAAGAAAGGCATTTAGCGTTATGGTGCACTTGAATCAACACTTATCAAAAGCCATAAGCAATGCTAAGAGCTAATTTAATGATGTCTCATGAACATCCATAAATAAAAGTATAAAGAACGAAGCTGTAGTTAAATCAAAATTTCGAATCCAACTTACTATATATGTAATTGACACTGTTAGATACACATAAAATTCGAATTAAAGTCTTCTCATCTTTATATAACTAAATGACATGTATCACCGTATCAGGTAAGTCTGTTCAACTACGATAATTCTCCAAAAATCCAAACTAAGCGACAATATAAATAGGACAATTTCCTTCCATAAAATACCTTGTTATTGACAATACAAGTTACACCACACAAGTTATAAAACTAATTACATGTGATACTTTCAATAAATAATGCTAGCTAGTACAGAATTCAAGACTAGCAGTTCACTTGAGAAACAAGGCGCTATTCTTTTTCACGAAGAAGGCAGCTATTAATTTCCGATTATTTGCATCTAGAAAATATTTGTTAATGAGTAAATATACTGAAACATTTTGACCAAAACTTAGGAAAATGAATAACAAAATTAGCATTGCTTGTTAATATGGAAAAGTTGGGCAAATTTCCACAACAAAAGCGTGAGAAAGGCACTATCTCACGTTGAAAGTCCAACACTACTCCCTAACAAAGAGGCACACTTGCCTTTGTGCGTGCTTACCGCCTAATTCATCATAATATACTTCTTCAATTCATTTTAGCCTAAGTTTTTATTCATTCATATCATTTCCAAAAATCCCATTTCTTTTTTCTAAACATGGCATCAAATATGAATAGCAAGAGTAAAAAATCTCATGTTTCATCAAATTCTAATTTCAAACTTTGTATTACTCTCTTTTTTGTTGTTATTTTTACTATTCCTGCCCTTTTTCTCCTCCAAAACAATCCTTCTTCCTTGTGCTTCCCACCTTTCTCCACCACTACTACAACCAACTCGTGGGCAGGGGACTTGCGAGCCGCCACCTTTGCTTGGAACCACCTTGACTTGGCAGAGCATGGACCTCGGCCACTTAAGATCGCGGTCTTTTCAAGGAAGTGGCCTGTGGGAGCTGCACCAGGAGGGATGGAACGTCATGCATTTACACTTCATAGTGCCTTGGCCAACCGAGGCCATAAGATCCATGTCTTTACATCCCCTTATGATAAAGGGATCATGCCTAGCCCAACCTCATCAACCCCGGCCTACCCGATGATACATTGCCATGAGGGCGAGCCAGGGAAGTGGCGGTATAACAAGGCGTGGGAGCAGTTTACTGAGGAGAATGACAGGGAGGCTTTCGACGTGGTGCACACAGAAAGCGTTGCACTCCCTCATTGGCTAGCGCGGCAGCTAACCAACTTAGTGGTTACTTGGCATGGCATAGCCCTTGAAAGCTTACAATCAAGTATCTACCAAGACTTGGCTAGGCAACCTGGTGAACCTATGTCCCCTGGTTTTAACCAAAGTATTCAAGGTACTGTCCCTAAAGTACTTAATGAAATAAGATTTTTCCACAATTATAAGCATCATGTTGCTATTAGTGATAGTTGTGGTGAGATGCTAAGAGATGTGTACCAAATACCATCTAAAAGAGTACATGTTATTGTCAATGGTGTTAATGAAGGTGACTTTAGGGAGGAAGCTAAACTAGGCCGGGATTTTCGGTCCAAAATTGCTATGCCTAAGAATGCTAGCTTAGTCATAGGTGTAGCAGGGAGATTAGTGAAGGACAAAGGGCATCCCTTGGTTCATAGGGCATTTGCTAAGTTTGTGAAGAACCATCCGAATGTGTACCTTATCGTAGCAGGGTCAGGTCCATGGGAGAATCGATATAGGGAATTGGGACCCCAGGTACTAGTCTTGGGGTCTATGAAGCCATCTGAGCTAGGAGCTTTTTATAACGCGATTGACATTTTTTTGAACCCAACCTTGAGACCCCAAGGCCTCGATCTCACACTTATGGAGGCAATGATGAGTGGAACCCCTGTGATGGCTTCAAGATTTCCGAGTATCAAGGGGACCATTGTGGTGGAAGAAGAGTTCGGGTTCTTGTTTGCTCCAAATGTGGAATCGTTGGTGGAGACATTGGAGGAAGTGGCTGCAGAAGGTCCGAAAAGGTTAGCCCAAAGAGGAAAAGCTTGCAAGGATTATGCACATACGATGTTCACTGCACACAAAATGGCCTTAGCATATGAAAGGCTTTTTCTTTGTGTTAAAAATGAAACATTTTGCACATATCCTTGAAAGTTTAAGAGTAATTATTTTCTTATTTCATTTTTGGCATAAGTTTTCTCCCAAGTAGAGTATACATAATTCATTCAAGTACTTGTTTGACCAGAGTTAATTATTTTAGAAATTAAAGAGCAGAATTACTGTAATGCAGATCAGGCACTGCTAATGGCATTTCAGATCTGTTGTACCAATATTTGATACAGGTTAACATTGAAAAACAGAGAATTTTTTTTTTTTTACGTTTCTGCACAAATTTTCCATCAGATCTTTAGAGTATATACGACTGCAAAGTCCAAATTTTCAGGAGCTAACTCTTGTTCTTAACATATATCTCAGCAGAAACAATACTAGTACAGTTGATCATAAGTCGTAAACACAGATATGAATATTCAAGATATAAACATAAAAGTTTCATATTAGAGAGTGACTTACAAATCGACAAACAAAATTTTGAGAGCCAAACTTGTTCAGAATAGATCAAGAACAGTCAACCATGCTGTACAATGATTACTTCAAAGATCAAAGTGATGGCTCTCCACATGTTATCCCTTTCAGCATTACTCAATGTGTTTACATTTCCTTCCAGCAGGCTTGCAGTTTTGCAGATTCATCATATAGCAGGATCATGAATTTCAATGCTAATAAGTACGGATTAGAATCGCAATATGCATCATTTCCATCATATGGAGTAGGGGGAAAATAGGATGTTAATATATTTTTTTCTGTACAAAAGAAGGGCAGAGCCGCAGACAAACCCTCAACCTCCTCTTAATCCAGTTGAGAAGAAATTCTATCACGTTCAAACCGATCATAAGCATGCCTAGTTCTCAAGAACAAGAGCACACACGAAAAGAGTCCAAAAACCGAGAGGCATCCCCACCAAAAGAAGGTCCAAAAATAGCAGTGTCTCCCCATACAAATCAAGGTATCAGTAACCATTGAGATCCCCTGTGAAGAGTTTACAGCGTCAGAATCATACACTACAGCAGCTAGTAAACCATAAACCAGGGAACCAATGGGGATGTTGGTGATCAGGATATTGTGGTTGACTCCTACACTGGAAGGGCCAAATAGCTCAGATGTTATGGAAACGGCTGCAGCAAATATGAAGCCAGAGCTAAGTCCAATTAACGACGTTCCTGTTTGTAGTGCCAGGGCACTTCCAGATCCTGTAAGCAAGAAGAAGGCTATGGGGGTCGGTGTAAGTGCGATTGCTAGCCAACCTGTTCTTGCAAAGTAGAACTTCCTGTCCAAAAATAAGAATACTGAAATAAGTTGTGCATCCCACTAAATCACAGTAGTACATGATAGATAGATGGGACTAATTACTTCCACATTTTTTTTAATTTGTCAATTATATGCTTAAAGTCAGGACCAATTAATTGATACTTAAATGCAGCTTGATATATAAGATATGTCATTTAGAAGGATCAGTTACTCACGCACGAATGTAATCAGGAGTGGCTGATAGTAAGCGACCAAAGAAGGAGAAAGATGAATAGAGAGTTATAAGAGTTGTGGTGCTGGAACTCTGCCCAAGTGACTGAGCAATCTGTCCAAGATTATTACTGTAAACCAACCCAATTGTACCTCCACAAAAATAAGCAATATAGTAGAGCCAGAAATCCACCCTGCGAACAAGTACAGAAGCAGGATGCTCTTCCCCTAGAATCAGCAATCGGTCCTTCCTGATCACTGGCCCACAACAAACTTCACTCTTGGCTGCAGTAGACTCAGTGAAGCTATAAGTAGATTCATCTCCTTTTTCTTTCCAGTTCCCCAGCAAAGTCATGGTATCACTAGCATAGTCACCACCTCGTATGGACATTTCCCTATGGACCTCCAAATCATCATCTTCAACAAGAATGAAACCTGAGCCATCAATTTGGAAATGTGTATGAATCTCTTTGAACCACTCTCGAGCATATACAACACCGGGAATGCATAGGGGAAGGATAAGCAGGAAAATTGCCCCACCAAAGAGAATACGTGCTGATGACATTTCATTTGTAGATGAGGAAAGGAAGAGGAGGTAAAGGCCAGTCAAGACTGCTAAGATGTTAAGGAAAAAGAATATAAGAGAATCCCTTTGAATAGCTTCAGAAGGGAGAGGATCAAGTTCAGGTTGCCTAAGGATTGGGATTAAGGCAGCAAGGGAAGTTAAGAGGGGAATGAGGGCATTCAGTAAGAGGTAGAGGGAATCTGACGATGGATCAATTGAATTAGCTGCTAGGGTGTATAGTGCAGCACTTACACCATTGAAGCCGACTGTCAGGGAGAGTGCAAGAGATCGGTTTGCTGGGAAGTTTTTAATGCAGAGAACAAAACACACTGTGTTGAACCAGCAGATGCTACACCCAGCTAATAAGCATAGGAAAAATACCTGTCAAATAAAACCAACATTATTTATAAACATGATGTACAAACTTTCATGTTCCCTAGCAAGTTGAGAGAATTTTTGAGTCTTTAATTTTATGACAGTAAAAACAAATGTACAATCTCACCACTAATTGCCAGACAAGCTTTTTAAGGCAAATTATGGTCACAGAGTTCTAAAGATTCTTATTTAATTAGTCTGCCTGAAGCTAACACAATCTCTGGCACTTCAAGTTATGAAGGTAAAACAGCCTAAAGTTCTCGCTCATTTCATGTATTCACATTTCACAATATGCTATATATGGAGCTTATTGCAGCTAACAGATTCGGTGGCAACTTACAATTATAGAGCTACTGTCTTTTGTCTATACATTATCAGATTGATCATAAGAGCTTCTAGTATAAAATAGAATAGATGCAATTTAGTTTTCAAAATATATTATAATTTTTCTTAGAAGAGGTCGGTAAATCCTCCTAGGCCAATTTGGACCATTATTGGGCAGAAGAGAAGGGGAGAAAATTCTTCAAAGAAGCATATAGGATCCAATCCTTGCTTCTTGTGGTTAGAAGGTGGTGAGGGAGTCACTGTCTTGCCCCCACTCAATTCTCTTTATCACTAGATATTTTCAGTTATTTCTCATCAATTATTCAGTTATTTAAGTTTTTCCTATTGCAGGCTATTGGATACCACCAGAAAAACTATGACCATATAAAGCAAAAAACACTACCACTATTTTAGAAAAGTGAAAAGATGGGGGGATATTCTTTTCTAAAATTAGTAGAGCACTGAAGAATCAACTAAAATGAATTAGAGAAAAAGGGTAAAGGTGACAAATGTCTAATGAGTTGTTTGGAACCGAGTTTTATTTAAGTCAATATGGTTGGATCATGTCTAAGTGATGAATCATTTTATTATGTTGGGGCATAATTACCCTTTTTTATCATTGATATTTGATTTCAGTCATAAAAATTAAGTTATCTTATTTAGGGTACGGCAATTCTAGACCATGTCAATCTTATCGAGTCTTTGAGAAAAGTGCAATAGTAAAGTAAAATTTTGAGGCTATAAAAAAAGTGTTAGAGACTTTAAATGTTAGCACCATCAACTGATTGGGTAAATGATGAAATATCTCTTAGCATCCAGAAATTCCTAGTGATAAATAAAGAATGGACCTTTTTACACAAGGTGGGGTTAAACTAGTGGTTGTTTGTGTACTATTGCAATAAATTATGTGGTACAAGCATACCACACGGGCAGCCAAGTAGCCAACCATCTGTGCTCATACGGGATAAAAAAAGCTTTTGATTTTGTGAATGTCAACAAGTTTTTCATATTTGTGTACATATTAGTTACACATTTGACTAGTATAAAGGAATTTCATGTGATAGAGGTTGAAACCAGAAAGGACCTTAAGGCCTGGGAAACTCTATTAATGTCTTATTCTAATGTGTTAACGTCATCATGTATGTACAAAATTACAATATGTTACTGTATGAAATAAGGCTAATTCGTTGATGCTCACCATTCCGCTTTCCACCAAACACGACAAATAATTAACTTAGATTATATGTATGTATTCCTTTTGAAACCCAGAAGTGTAATTGAAGGTACCAATCTCTTAATTAGAAGTATAGAACCAGTAAAGGGCAACTTTTTCTTTTTCTTTACATCCATTTTCTATTGTTTTAGGTAATAAACAAAGCAAAGCCTTCACCAAACTTCAGCTTATTTGCTTTAGACTAATTGGAAAAGAGTAATGAAATTATAAAAAATTAAGTTTCCACCAAAAGGTATTATTATGTGGTCTTTAACCTCCACATTATCTTTAATTCCGAATTTCCAATTAACTATAAACTGCTAACATACTTCAATTCAATTTTAATTTGTATATCCTTGTTATGATTTACCCTGTGTCCCCGTGCATTAGCACGTGCATAAACTAGTTATTGATTAGATACCCAACCATTTCTCCGACCTTTGTAATTCTAAACAAACCAAGCAATAATCTCAGTTTTAACAATACTAGCAATTATTGATCATTGGCCATTTACAGTAAATGGGTAAGCTTACTTAACTTAATCAGTTTCCTTATTTCCAAAAACAATTATTGATTAAATACTTAACAATTACTCCCATTCTAAAAAAATCAACAAAAACTATGTCAATTGATTATTTAATCCCTTGAAAAAGCCAATTAATTATCTAACACTCTGTAATCTGTATCATTTTGAATTATTTCGAGAGCATATAAAAATTAACCCGTACACCATATGCGTTAGTGTGTGCATAAAACTTTTTAAGAATACATAACATCATTGACATTGACAGAAGTACTAACCAATAAAATTAATTAGAAAGAAAAAGAAAGAAAGAGGAGAGAGAAAAAAAAAACAAGGAAAACGTACCACAAAATAAGGGGGAGAAAAAATGCCACGAAGAACAAGCCATTGAAGACCATAACCAAGAAAACCCATGAAAGCAGCAATGAACATAACAACCCACAAAGGTAAATACATCAAAGCTAACCCAGATGACCAACCAAACGCTTTTCCTAAATCCGACGCAACCGCCAAGTAGTTCAGCTGAACTTGTGAAATTCCGAGCATAACCTTCATTTCCGATGAATAAGCTGAGAAATCGAAGTTTGTACCAGTAAATGCCTGCAACCATATTGTAGCTACTAGAATTGCCCACTTTCGAGATTGTCCTGCCATTGATATGATCAGGAATAATTTTGCATAACAAAAAAGGCGCTGTTTTCGGGTTGGAAACCAGGATTGTTGCTTCTTAGCCTTTAATGGTGGTGGGTTTTTAATGGGGGAATACTTGAAGTATGAAGATGTAGGGGAGTCTTTTGAATTGCGAGGTCTCATTGTTTTTTTTGTTTTTTTTTGTTTTTTTTTTTTTGGTTTATATATAAAAGGAAATAATTATGGTATTTTTTTTTTTTTGGGTATTTTTGGAATTTTGGGATTTTTAAGGTGGGCTCACTTTGTTGTCACTTTCATTGGATCATCTTCTTCTTCTTCAATGAGGTGAATTGATTGACATGTGATTATGAGGAGAGAGAGAGACAGAAAAAAAAAAAAAAAAAAAAAAAAAAAAAAAAAAAAAAAAAGGGAAGGTACTAGTATTCTGGAAAATGGAATAGAAGGAAATGTACACAGTACATACATGGTTGCACATTCAAAAATAGCTAACTTTTATAGTAAGACCAATTTATATCATAGAATAGTTTTGTGATAATTTGAGAATATAATAATATTTGGTTGGTAGGACTGTAGGAGAGTATAATTTAATATATGATGGATGCAAAATACAAGTATGAAATAATGATGTGAGATGGTGTATGTAAAAAAAAAATAATAATAAAATAAAAAAAAATAGTTCTTATATAATGTTTGTTATTGAGTGTTCTAGGATGAAATCCTATTAGATCCAATTTGATATGGTATTTACTAGTTTTGTATTTTTATTATAAATGTCGTATCACGTTTGATTTCAAAACATTTACTAGTTTTATATATTTATTATGCCGTATCACATTTGATTTAAAACTTAACTGTATTGTTAATACTGCTACATAAGCTTGATCATCAAATAACAACTGTTTTTTTTTCCTGTTTGGTTGGCCAATCGTGTTGAGTATTGTTCTCGCTTTGTTACTCCATCGGTACTTTTGAGAGTGAAATGTTACTCTTGAGCACGCATGCTAATGCAAAACCTTGACCATTTATACCCTGATTATTAATAGGTAAAATTTTAACAATTGAATAATTAATAAACTATTCATCGAGACGATTCTAATCGAGACGATTCTAACTTAGTAACTTGTATCCAATAAATCACTAACATTAGTCAAATAGATTAGGTAAATAGTGTAAAAAGTCAAAATATTTCACTAAAAAAAATAAAAATGAAATGTTACATACTTTATTGTTTTAAGTGCAAATTTTTATCGCTTAATAATATTCTTAGTTTCTTAATAATAATAATAATAATAATAATAAATTTTTTTTGCTTAAATTACATTTTTAAAAATATACGCATTAATACAAATCTAATATGAAGTAAGATCTAATATTAGTTTAGCTAAAGGTCATCCTTGGAGAACCTTTATGCTATATATGTTTCCTTTATGATTTATAAAGATAAATAAAGCCAAGGAAATACCCCTCGAGTTTCACGAGATATAGAAAGCCAAGGAAGCGGTGAGTAATTACAGTAGTACGAGATGTAACAAGAATCATTGTTTTTGCATGGCTTAAGTAAGTTCTAATCCTACCTCTATTTCTTATTAAGTGCAATAAAAGAATATTTTATATTTTACAAATAATATTTCTTTATTGCATATAATAAGAAACGGAGTCAGTAATGCAAATTATATGTTGCTTTGCTGATAGCTGTATACAAACCAATTCCGATAATAAGTTGATAGATGAAATCCTATAATTAATTTTACACTCTATCGAGTATCAGTTAAACTCGCAATATCTAAATCAATTGGCTATTTACGAACACGTAACAATGGTTTTCTTCCACTTTTCCTCACATGGTTTTCAAATATTAAAAATTGATCAAATCATAAACTATTACGAAGTACTTGTATTAGTTGTATATTACGGAGTATATGGTATTAGTTGTATTATTATGTGATAAGGACCGTCATCACCCATAGAATAGATTTTATCATAGTCACATAATTTAATTAATCACAGTGTTAAGATGTCTTATTGGGGCCAATGGATATAAGTTGCAAACAAGCTGGCCCAGCCCATTGAAGTTAAAATGCTTTACAAACTTTCCTTAAAGATTAGTTAGTGATTTCCAAATTTGTTTTGTAAAAAAACCGTTAGCGCTTCACATGTTGGATGAATCAGGATGAGATGACTTCAATTCATTTGGTAAGTTTACAGGAATTTGGAAGCATAATGGTTAAACAATTAACTAGTAAATAGTATTAGTAAAATGTTAGCAATAAACAATTAGCTTAGTGTAGCAATTAGCTTAGCAAGTGTAAACCCTTTCAATCCATGGAAGAAGGCATGGAGTCCTCTACAGGATTTTTTCCCAAATTGAGCTTTATTGGTAAATTATTTACCAAATTGGTCTCGTGGGAAAAGTATTTCCCAAACTAAGCTTTTGGGGTGAAACGCTGTGTCGGACAGCGTTTTACATCCAGTTTTTTTTAAAAAAAAAATTCAAGAAGTAAAACGCTGTCTCAGACAACGTTTTACCTTATTGACCTGTTGGTATGTATTTTGGCAAAATATACTACTATATTTTGCCAAATTATACTGGAATATGTATATGGGCTTTGAAACGCTGCCTGAGGCAGCGTTTTATGTTGAAGCATAAAACGCAGCCTGAGGCAACGTTTTATTTGAAGCATAAAACGCTGCCTGAGGCTGCGTTTTATGTTAAAGCATAAAACGCTACCTGAGGTTGCGTTTTATGTTAAAGCATAAAACGCTGTCTCAGACAGCATTTTTCTGCTAGACTGCATTACCAGCAGCATCTGCTACACTGCATCACCAGCAGTTTCTGCAATCTGCTGCTGCCCCTACACATAACCCTCACCCAGCAGCATCAGCTCAGCCCCACCATGAACCACCACCCCCACCACCATCCACCACCATCAACCACCTCCCCCACCACCATCGGCCGCCACTCTCGACCACCCCTATGCAATGCAAAACACCCTAAACAACGCAAGGACATTCCCACCACCCCCATCATTAACCACCACCCCCACCACCATCAACCACCTCCCCCACCACCACCGCCCGCCACTCTCAACCACCCATAAACTACCATAAAACACCCTAAACAACGCAAGAGCATTCCCACCACCAGCCCCAACCTTTCCACCACCGACAATCATCAAACACTGGAAACAACCCCAACAGCATGATAACCATCGTGAAACAGCACTTTAAGTGCAGGAGACCAAATATATGCTGCTTGATACATATAACGGATATAAAAGATATAGTTCCACTAACAAAAGTCAAATTCGGACAAATAAGGGAAATAAACTTCAAATTGTACAGAGAGTCATTTAGAAAACATTTCTTGTATTAATAATGTAAGTGTTATATACAACATTGTTAAATATCTGAGTACCACAAAAGGATCAACTAACTAATACTATCCGGACTCATGTATTGGAGTTAATTGATCTCCATCTTGTGTGTCCTCCGTCCGTCTACGAACACGCCTCGGACGCCTCGTGTAATGCTGAATGGTGGTGAATGGGTCTCGGGACGGTGGAGAAGTCAGCTGGCGAGACGATGAGTCATCCTGGTTGTGGCCGGGAGCGGTGTTATGGATGAAGTAATCAAAGCTTTTAAATGTTTGTTTGTGGAGACAGGTAACACTTGAGCCCCATGCCCAGTCTCACACCTCATTTTAAGGTTCAATTCAGCATTCATTGGGTTTGAGCCGATACTACTATGAACCTCATTCATCAGATCATTCACAGTCATGTTCGGTTCAAGCGTTATAAGTTCCATATTCCCTCCACTGTACTCAACATTTGATCCATCGCACATAATTTCACCTCCCCACCGGCATAACAACACTACATTTTGTGAAGCCATATTCTACATACCAACCAAAACACATTTAAGGATAATCGAATTCTAAAACAACGTCAAAAAACCCTAATTTAACAATACATAACATACATAGCTTCGATAATGGAAAGTTATATCAAATTTCGAGAACCTACATGTGTAGCTAATATGACAACAATGAAACAAGTTCATTCTCATTATCAACATTTTCATCACCAATTTCATAAACTCTTAGTACCGCATACAACTATCAACATACTAATACTGCATTACCATCAACAATTTTATCATTTTTTCACAATAATAGACCACATTACCATCAAGAATTTCATCAAGAATTTCATCAAAAACAAACCACATTATCATTGACAATTTCATCAACAATTTCGTCGACAATTTAATCAACACTTTCGTCTATATTTTTTCTCAACAATGTACCACATTATCATCAATAATTATCAACAATTTATCACATTTCATTACTAATTAGCAACAAATTAATACAATTTACATCACAATTTGCTACAACATACAACAACTATCTACTACCAACTATTCAATGTAAAATTCAACAATGTACTACGAATTTAGGGTTTACCCGGATTTAAAGAGTGAGTGAGACAATGCCGGCAACAACTTCCGTTCACTTTGGCGGCGGCACGGCAGGGGAGGTGTTGGCAACGGCTGTGGTTCTTTGTTGCTGACAATGAGAGTTAGTGAGAGAGAGAGTGTAAATTGCGTGAAAGAGATTGAGAAAAAAAGGCCTGAAATTCGTTATAATTCCCGCAAGAAACGCTGCCTGAGGCAGCGTTTAATGTACAGATAAAAACGCTGCCTCAGGCTGCGTTTTATGCTTGTACATTAAACGCTGCCTGAGGCAGCGTTTCATTTAAAGATATAAATGCTGCCTCAGGCAGTGTTTATTTGTATAAAACAGGTATGAAATACGAAGTTTTTGAAAAAAGTCAAACTACCATAAAACGCTGCCTGAGGCAGCGTTTTATGTCTTGTAATTTTTTTTTTAAAAACTGAGTGTAAAACGCTGTCCGAGACAGCGTTTCACCTCAAAAGCTTAGTTTGGGAAATACTTTTGCCACGAGACCAATTTCGTAAATAATTTCCGATATTGTCGGCTAATTAGGTATTCTAACATGTAGTCATGGGTCATGGCACTACGTAATCTTTTCGTAACTTTAATTAATAAGAAAATAACAAGGATAATAACAATCATAATTTTAATAGTATGATAAATTTATTAGTGATTCTTTAGAGCACATGACCCACCATTTTTTTTTTTATAAAACTTACAAGCTTACAACTTTTGTTCATTCCAATTATCGAATGTTTACATTGCCAGAACTTTGCATGAAGACGACTAGCAAGTAAACACTTCTTGATTACAATAAAAGATTGAAGCTCCATAACATGCTTTGTTCTTGTTTGCTTAGTGGGATTTTAGAGGGTGAAGCGATATATTAGTCTTTTGAATTCAATAAAGCCTAAATCCAAATATTTCGTATAATTATGGATTTTCCACAAAATATTAAGTACTTCATATTAACCTAAACTCTATGCTTATAATTCTCCTAGGTTTGAAATATTTACAAACTAAAGCATAAGATAATTTTATAACACTTTTGTCGTAAAATTTAGATCATACACTCGAGAGCATGATGTGCATTATGCTTTAAAAAAAAAAAGACTAAACCATTTATGAGTAAAGAACCACGATATCATTCTTAACAAATTATTTAATCAAGATTAGGATATGCATCATGCACTCAAATGTAAGATCGAATTTGCTCATCCCGAACCCTCATTAATCTAATTACTCCCCAATTAGTGAAAACGTTAAAGTATTTCAAGAACAGAGCTTACCATTTTTGCAAACTTTCATCTCCAGAAGAGCGCACAATTAGCCCAGGCGCCCACCAACTCCTTTAAATAAAATAACCCCATTTTTATAATTCTGAAAACTCGAAGAAAGTCAATCAATTCAATCAAAACTGATGTTGAAGACCCTTTCTTTGTTTCCTCGTTTACCCTTTTCCTCTTCTCGAAGGTCCATTTCTCTTTCTCTATTTCTTTCAGATTATTGGCATTCTTCATAATCTTTTGATTTGATTAACATATGCCCTTTTTTTGCTGTTATCGTTTCTGGGTTTTCATTAATTTTGATTTTTTGCTGTTAATTTTTAATGGGTTTTGCTAATGTTGTGTTTTTTTTTTTTTTTTTTTTTTTTTTTTTTTTTCAATTTTGTTCATGACATTGAAAGTTTGGAACTTTTTTTGTTTGTTTAATTTATATTTATGTAAGTTTTATTTCTTCAATTGGGATATCTGGTGACATTGGCCTGGCCTTAAAGTGATTGAATCAATTTTATGAAAAGAGGAAATATGGAAAAGAAGAAAATCAAGGACTTTAATAAAACCACTACAAAAATGAGCTTGACTAGTGTTGCATACTGTTGAATTATTCTTTCTTATTCTTTTGTTTTTATCGATTTGATGGCTAATGCAATACATTCAATAGGATGATTTGGTTTATGCTTATATTAGTTATATAGTAAAGTCTGATGTGGTGCACACTTGTAAATTGTAAGGATGATTAGGTTGGTGCTACTTTAGTAAGCTCTAGTGTGATGTTCTGCATTTGAAAGGATGATTAGGTTGGCCCTTTTATAGTAGGTTCTAGCCAGTTTTCTTCCCTTATTATCAATTATTTCGAATTGATGAGTCTAAATTGTTATTTCAACTCAGATGTCTAATCCAATTGTTTCACTTATATGCCTCAAATTGATTGTTGATGCAGTAGTTCAGCAGTAGAGGTAGTGTAACTGCTGTTGTTGATATTCGTTCAACATCCTATTATATATCTGAAATCATTCCATATAATTGATTTTCATTCAGATTTCCTAATTTCGCCACAATGTCTGTGGAAGCGGTACCATTGTGTCCTAAATTTGTTCCTGTGGAGCAAAGTAAAATAACTTCGATCAGCAGCCCTGAAGGTATGTTTGTGCTTTACATTATCCTAGAAATCAAGTCTGCCAATTCATGATATGGGGCATAATTTGTTAATCCTGTAAAGAGTGTAAATCGGTAATTAATAAGTGTAACAAGTTTTTGATGACATGGATATTCTGAACTGATAATATGTTAAGCACTGAACTGAAAATCTGACACATAATATAAATTTAAATTTTGTCTGATTGAAATGGGCCCAGTGGGAGCCTGATTAGTTTCATCTCCTAGCCATGCTTTGTGATTAGCAGTTTAACTTCACTCATCTTGATAGCTCGTAAGAGAAAGTCTCCAATTCTTGAACGTATCATTGGTACCATCCTCAGAAGATAGTAAAGAATCTGATATTTTGATGAAATTATTGGCTATCTATTTTAGCCTTCCTATATGGGTTAATAATTGTACAGTATTGTATGCCATGCACCTTTTTTTTTTTTTTTTTTGGGCTTTCTACCTTTTGACTTTAGATTCCTAACCGCTGATCATGTTGGTCACTATCACTGGAACTTTTATGTAAACCATGTCAAGTCTTACTATTGCCCCACCTTCTTATGTACGGGAAGCCCTTTTTTATGTTCTTTACTTGCAGCTGACTGGCATGCCTTTTTTTGTATTGCAGCATACAAATTCAGTGTTGTATCATATAATATTTTGGCACAGGTATGTGTGTGCTTTAATTATTGACAAGTACGGAATTGAAGAAATTCCTTATCTTTGTGTTTATCAATTCTGAGCTATGTTACTTGGACTCTTCATTTCACCTTAAGTACTTGTATTGGATATTGGACAATTGACATGGGGAATCGGACACCGGGATGTGCACTCCTGTTGGTCATGATTACCCAGTCTGAGTAACATAGCTTCTGAGTGAAAGTTTGCTATTTTACTTACTGCTTATGTTTGTAGCTGGTCATGAGCTAGAAGTTTCATTAAGGATAACTTACAAACTGCATGTCTGCATATGTTATGTTTTGCTATAGTAACCTTGCATTTTGTTAACGGAGAACCTCTACAAAATCAACCTTAACATAATCCCAATGTCTGTAAGCAGGCTTTCCTCTAAAGGAGGTTGGGCAAAATGGATGTATGCAGCTTGCGATAACCAAAAGGTTGTTTTTACTATAACTTCAATCTAAATTGTAATAATTGTTTACTGCTTTGTATTGAACTATTGAAAAAGGCGTAGATCATATAAGTTGATGGAGAACTTGTACTACAGTAATTTGACTAAAATTCAATAAATATTTATCCAAAATGAGCTACTGGTGCATCAGTAAGAAACTGTGAACTTCTTACCCTCCTCCCTTGGGATTATGAGGAGAGGACTTATGACAAAATTTCCAACTTACATTTTTCTTTTATCACCCACAACAAATCTTAGGATCAACAAGTTATTATTCTTGATAGATTTACAGCTTGACACTGTCTCCTGTAAATTTTGTTTATATAATTCTTGTACATACTTCAATTAAAACAGATTTGCCTACTACTTTCCCTACATTCTTCATTTACATTTGTTTGTGCGGTTGAAGTCCAATTTTAGTTCTTTCCTAAAATTTACTAAACGAGTGCAACCCCAAGAAAAAATTATACAAGTACACCTTGACAAGGAGGTAATAATAAAATATGAAAAATTATATAAGAGTTAGAAGAACAGTCTCACTGCTATGTTTCTTAGCCCTGCAGTGATTCCAGGTAATGGTAATGGTAGTCAGTTGTCTGTCAACCTATATGAACAGTCTCACTAACTTGCTTACCCTCTTGTAAGAAAGGACAGTTATGGTTTTAATGGTGTGATCTTATATTTGATTCCGTTTTGTAGGTATTTGTGAAGAGTTCCTATTTTCCACACTCCCCAAAACCTTGCCTCAGGTAACTTAACTATCTGAATTGTGGTTATTTATTGGGTGTTTAATCCTGCATCTGTTGGTAATTAAATAATATGCATCCATGCTGTTGTACATGGCCAATTTTGTCAATATATGTGATTTTTTTTTTCTCAAGTATCTATTTGTATATGTGCATTATTTTTGTTTACTATGATTAACGGGGATAATGAGCAGTGTGGCAGATAAAATGCGTTAGTACAACATTAGAAAGTTGAAGGAGTTGTGCTATTATATACCTTAATGTCACCATTAACCCTAGGTGTTGATTCATGAAGCTCAACTGTATTATGTCAAACATTCTGGCTTTATTTAACGTGTTTCTTATCGTTTTCTCATGAACTTTCTTTCAAGGAGGGTTTTTGCTTTTACTCTTTTATGTATATCTATAGTATTTAATTTTTTGAAGTTCTTGTTCCGAATGATTTGCTTAAGCATTTGACGATAATATCTTCTTCTATGAACTACGTGACGAGTTATAAAATTAAAAATGTGGCGTTACTGAATTTGAGACTGATTGTTCTGGGGTTACCATGGTAGATGGGTCTAACATAAGGGCTGGATATATAACTTTAGGGCTGCATGGTGTAAAGATAGAAAGAAGTCAAATGACTAAAAGCTATGGTTTTATTGAGAAATAGATAATAATTGATGAGAATCAAAAGGAGAGATAACTTGCATCATAGTAAGTGCTAATTTTAACAAAACTAAGATCTCACACTTCTATCCAAGTCCAAGCAGTAAATTTAACTGAAGGTTGGTCTTGTGTATTTGCAGATGGAAGGCTCGTTCCAAAGCTGTTTTAACTGTTTTAGGAGATTTTGATGCCGACTTTCTCTGTTTACAGGTCCTTTAGCTTCTCTGTGACAACAATAGTTCGTGTTTCATCTCTTATATCTATGCTGTTAAAAGCTGCAATGTGTTTCCCAACTTATTATTATTATTTTTTCTTTTTCCAATTGTTATTGTTCTGGCCGTATCAGGAGTTAGATGAGTATGATAGCTTTTATAGAGGCAATATGGAACAACTTGGATACTCGAGCATCTATATTCAAAGGAGTGGCCAAAAGCGTGACGGGTGTGGAATCTTTTACAAGCTGACCAGGTACATGGTGCTGTCTGATTCCTATGTTTTTTTCCCTAATCTAAGATAATCAAGCCGATATCATATCTGATTTTCTGCTGCTTAGCTTTAATTTGTCAGTTGCATGTTCAGTGTCTGCCATATGAAGTATTGAGGCTCCTAAGCTGTACCCAATCCACATAATGGATGGTGTATTGTTGTGGTAAATGTGCTTAAGTAATTGAGAGTGGAAGTTAAAAGCTTATAGGTTGGTACAAGTCACCTTGTTTTATGAAATTCAAATGTTGGAATCACTTGAGCTTGTTGTTGCATGAACGATTTCTTAAACAAATACTTATTACCTTTTTTAGTGATGGAAAAATTATAGAATCCTCAGAAAACACTTTCGTCTAAATTTTTTGTAGTTTGGTTGTTGGTAGACGTGATGTCATGACCATTATTTTTGGCAAATGATGTCATGATTTCATGAGCACAAATTCGGAATTGTTTCTCATAGTTCATGAAACCAGATATCATTAAGAGTGTATTTTATTCAAGCACTTGTTAATTTTTTTGCGAAGCTCAATATTGATCTTTGTCATAATGATGATTATGCTAGTTGTTGTCTTGTGGATCACATGTGCACAAAACATATTTCTGTTTGTTGGTCCTGTTCTTCTAATGGCACAGACTATGGTGTGTATATTTGACTGCATAAATTGAGTATACCAAATTCTATTTACCTTTTCCATTTAATTTATATTATATACTCTGCAGACACCTAGCTACTGGTGAGTTTTGGATAGAAAGATGAATATATTCTTTGAGCAAAAAACTCTGCCTTTGTCATATAGTCTACTCGTATGTTTTAAAATCATTCTTAGTGACTTACCAAAAAAAAAAAAGATTGTTCTTAGTGTTGCAGCCTTTCTGATACCTACTTCATATTGCATTTTTTGGTAGTCTATTTTGTGTTTTGCCCTGTATATTATTTCTTTATCTTAGCTTTTGGCGTGCTCCAGTGCAGAGTTGGTCTTACAAGAAAATATTGAATATAATGATCTAGTGAAATCTATTGATGATGAAACAAATAGTAGAGTGATGGATAGTGCTGTGTCAGTTGCTGGAGGAAATGCAAATGCTGAAGAAACCCAAGGTTATTATTATTTTTCGTTTCCTCTCTAATTATGATATCCACTCTTGATATTCTAATTACTTTCCTATTTTTGCAAATCCCATACTTATCATTTCTTCTAAATTCCCCTGTATCACCTTATTCTTCTGATCTTTCTTGATCCATAACCCCAATTTTCATCTGAGATCCCTCTTGCTGTTCTGGACCTAAATGGCTGTTAAAGTGATCATTCGCCCAAATGTTCTTGCGGCTATATTATGGAGAATGTAAGTGAATGAGGAAGAAATTAAGATGTGGAATCTTCTACGGAGTATTAATTTCTTAGCTGTAGTTTTCATTAGGTTCTCTGTTTTAAAAAAAATAAAATCCACCCACATCAAATATGTATTATGTCAACGTTACTTCACTCAAGGTTTTTTTAACCCTTCCATTTATATGCGTCTTTTGTGGATTTTCAGGTTCGACAGAGAAAGGTGCTGAAAACGACCGTGGAGACCCTAATGATCCTCGTGTCAGACTAAAACGTGATTGTGTTGGAATTATGGCTGCATTTAGACTAAAGAACCATTCTCAGCATCTTATTATTATTGCAAATACACATTTGTATTGGTATGTTGACTCATTTTTCAGTCTCTGATTATTTGATTTACTCGGGCTCGTATGTATCTACTTTGACTTGCATTCTTACCTCCAAGAAAAAGATATTCCTCTGATATTATTGAATGGCTGCCATCTATTCCAGGGATCCAGAATGGGCTGATGTTAAGCTAGCTCAAGCTAAATATCTACTGTCGCGTTTAGATCAATTCAAAACTCTAGTTTCAGAAAAATTTGAATGTTTTCCTTCTGTTATTGTGACTGGCGACTTCAACTCTATCCCAGGAGATCAGGTACGACTGTAGGATTCGTAAACTTTTCTACTTTTTGCGTTTTTTATTTTTTCAGAAAATTTTGTATGAATTCCTTCTGTTATCAGTTTACCTGAAAATTTTGTATGAATTCCTTCTGCTATCAGTTTACCTAACAGTTAGGAGTTCTGCCACTGCTGCTTATTGGGTTAAAACCTGAATGTTTATTCCCTTTTGTCTACCAGGTGTACAATTACCTAATTTCTGGCAGCTCTTCCTTGGAGTCTACGGTTGAATGTCCTGATGAATTGCCCATTCCTTTGAGCAGCGTCTATGCCTGCACAAGAGGAGAACCGGCATTCACCAACTGCACCCCTGGCTTTACAGGTACTTTGGATTACATTTTCTTTTCGCCTTCCGGTTGCATACAACCTGTGAGCTTCTTAGAACTTCCTGATGAAGACTCTCCCTCTGTGGCTGGTGGGCTCCCAAACTATCAGCATCCCAGTGATCACCTTCCCATTGGTGCAGAATTTCAAGTCCATACTCAATAACACCACCTGTTCTATGTGCTTCTAGATTCCTTTTAATTGCTTCTAGATTCCTTTTCATTTTCTCATGACTAAATTGGGTTCGATTTTTTTTCCAAACCATGCTAGACGATACAGTTATTGATTTTGACAATATATACAAGGTTGCCTCAAGTACAACACTCACAATTTTTTGCACTCCTTTTAATTCTCATTTCTTGTTTGAACTACACTGTAAACATGGTTGTTAGCTGCTTAGCTCTAGACAAAAAGAAAATCATGTCAAAAAATTTGACTAATTTGATATGTTGGGCTACGCTTGGGCTAATTTTAGTCCAATGCATCATGCCGGCCTTGTAATCCATGTTTAATTTTCAAAAAACCGGCCCAAAATTTCTGCGCGAATCCAGGTTGTTATTCGGCCCAAGACAAGCCAGACCACTCTTGATTCTTGATCAGCTCAAGTGTGTTAATAGTAATTTGATACACTGTACTCTCCAAAAAAAAAATTAAAAAAAAATTAAAAAAAAATGACAGAGAACAAGGATTAGTGGTTGACAAAATAAATACAGCATGAATAAAATTGATGTACAGCTAAGTTGGAAATGAACAGAACAAGGGTCAAGTCTAAGGCGGCGTAGATTTGCGCTGATATTATGTTTTGCAGAGTGTCGGTACTAACGCGTTAAACAATGTCACATACTATCATTACTTCATGCCATGTGCCTAAAATCCATCCCACCTTCTGCCCCTGTTTTTCTTCATTCATGTCCAATGGAGCCTCTCATGTTTGCTTATCCGAAACTACTCGGTCGGTTCTATAGATCAACGGTTAAGAATACATGACGGAAAAACAAGAGTATTTGCTTTCAGAATAGGGTTCTTACTCTATAATTGAAAGATGGGGGCATAGTTATGGAGAATATTTTTAATGTGTTTGGTCAAAATGAGTTTAAAGACGTTATTTATTATGGCAAGCCTCTAACGACTCTAGAAAATGATCAATCTCATTGAACCTAATATGTCCATGGATATAATTTTGATTGAATGTTAAAAAACCACGCAAGTGATTTTCTTACATAGTTACATGTGATTGTGTTGGTTTGTCATATATGCTTCGACACTAGTTTTTTTTCAATACTTGCATTAATTTGAGTTATATATATGTCAAATGTCATTAGCATAATTATTAACATCTTTCTATCCGTGTTGATATTATAATATATTTGATGTTGTAATGTAGAAAATTAAATAAAGAGTTACTCCGTAATCGCTATGAGCCTATGACTGAGTCCCTAATAAAGGTTGACAGCAAATTGGAAAATAGACGAAAGTGATCCAATACAATGTCCACCTATGTGGTTGTTTTCTTAGCTATCTTTGTCAAAATTGCCATGTACGTAGAGAAAGAGATTTCAACAACCAAAATTGAATAAAAGTGGAGATGATTTGTTTCTAGTAGTACCACATACACTTTTAATTGTTAGATTGGATGCTTTACTTTAAGCTTTTTTTTTTCATCCGTGATTATTCAACCTTATTTTAAGGTTTAATCTCTCTTTTATGTACACGCGCTTACGACCAAAATTGATAATCAAACAAATCCTTAGAACATATAGTTATAGTAATACTTTTTTTTTTTCACAAATAAATTAGATCTTTTTAAAGTTTAAAATGTGTTACAAATTTAGTTAACAATTAGGCACAGTAGAACTATTACGCATGGAATGCCTAATTTTTTTTTACAAAGCTAAAAATGCCTAACATTTTAGATCTAACAATTTCAAAAGAAAAAAAAAGGACCACAATAAACCATTGATACTTTGTCAGTTTATTCGTGATAAGTCACATTAAATTAGTACTACTAGATTTAAGACATATGAAGCATGTGTATCTAAGTTTTAAGTAAGCAATTAATGTTCTAGCAAGCCTAATTAAGTGAGGTGTAGAGTTAGATTAGAGAAATAGAGAGGGAGCTTTAGGCTTCTATACATATCAGTAAAATATAATTTGATTTGATCCATTAATTGTTATTAGTTTTAAACGGTAAAATTAAATTTGACATATAACAACCATGAGAGTTCGTTCATGACTTCATGTACGTAAGTAAAATCAAGTGAATATAATAAAGTCATAAAATTTATAGACTTTTTAACCAACATTCATAAAAAGTTGATTTCTATATTTTGTACATCTTTTTTCAAAATGATAGGGTAATCAGTAATCATAGTTTAAGTAATAGTTAGCCCTACAAAGAGATATAGCCAATACATCCTTCTTAAATATCCCAATGAAGTAAATGCAAACAAATGTCAACCAATACAGTATAAAAACCAATTTGAAAACACTATATATAAGTTACATTTTATTTATTTGTAACACACTTCTAAGTCAGAAAAAAGCTAATAAATATTTGACTTTTTCCTATAAAACAGATTATGTAATTTTACATCTTTGATTTTTGTCTTCTCAGCTACAAACCAATAGCTATTAGCTACTTTAACTTTATGCAAAGAAAAGAACTTCTCTATTTTCTTTTTTCTTTTTTTGTATTATTATTCTAGGCAACTTCCTTTTATAGTGAGCACTACAAGTTCCTTTAAGCTCCAATGGCTTCATTAAGCAAACCTCATTTCAGGTACTTTTTCTACCTTAATTTTAGACTAATTATTTTAGCTAATTAAGTAATTTTCTTCTCAAAAATTTATTTTTATGATATTAGTAAGCTTAAATTTTCTTTGAAATTGATTCTGTATAGATTTCATTTTGGTTTAAATTTTGATTGTAAATATTAACAAGTTTTGTGTTTTTGTTGTGAAACAGGATGTGTTATTCAATATGGTTTCAGTTTCTAGTTTGTGTTTTAATGTTGTTGGGAGTGAATGGTTTTCAAGTTCCAATAACTTTTGTTCAAGATGCTGTTGCTAAAGGAGGTGGTAAGTCATAAGTGAATTTACTGTCTTTTGTTCTAGCTTTACTAAACTCGTAAAGCCGTAGTTACTGACTTACTGCTATAGTAACATTGCCGATGTGGTGTTACCCTAAGACGATTGGCTAAGGGATTTAGCATTGGCTCTTTTTTTCAAAATCTTTCCTCTCGATACTAAGAGGAAAGTAAGAGCCCGTGAGGGTGACATTGTAAGGTGGTGTTATTGTTTTTTTTTTTTTTTTTTTTTTTTTTTTTTTTCAACATAAAGCAAAATATATAAGAAAGTTGTAACTTTATGCAGTTTGCTTGGATGGGAGTCCACCAGCTTACCATTTTGACAAGGGATTTGGAGCTGGTGTTGATAACTGGTTGATTCATATGGAGGTATGTACCCTTTTATTAATTTATATGATAATTATCTATTTACATATATAAAAAAGGAAAAAAAAAAAACATTTTATATACAATATCACTGTTTCAACATGCATAGTGTTCTAGAGGTTTAGATGCACGCAACCTTATTACTACAAGACCTTTGAATTACTACTAGTAAGATGTACTAGAATCGTGCTATGGAGCACAACAGGATGATGATGAGACAGATTAAAAGAATAATTGCTTGTGCAAAATCATGACTTCGAAGGTTTAGATGCACGCAACCTTAATGTCTTATACCATTAGCTACAACAAGGCCACTAATTCATTTTAATTGTAACAATGTGCTATAATACATGACACAATGTATGTAATAAGATGTTTGGTGCAGTATATGTAATTTCTCTTGGTTTGGCTAGGGAGGAGCATGGTGCAACAATGCAACGACTTGCCTAGAGCGTACCAAAACTCGTCTAGGCTCGTCTAAGTTAATGACAAAACAATATACTTTCTCCGGGATACTAAGCAATCAGGCAAAGTACAGCCCTGGTACTATATGTTCACTTCCTATTAACATTCATATAGATTGTTGTATAATTTTCTTGACATTGCTTCTATTATGGTTAATAACTTAATAATTATTCTAAGACGCGTTGTTTTGATTGCTAGACTTCTATAATTGGAATCGAATTAAGATTCGATACTGTGATGGATCATCTTACACAGGAGATGTTGAAGCTGTTGATCCAGTATGTAAATTCTAAAACCTCAACTATACCATTGTCCAAGCTTACTTATGATGTATAATTTGTATTTTGTAACAATTTAATTTGAATTTTTTCGATGTTAAATGAGCAGAAGGCTAAAGTTTACTACAGAGGAGCTAGACTTTTGAGGGCAATTTTGGATGAGTTATTGGCTAAAGGAATGAAGAATGCTAAAAATGTATGATTTTGACATATTTTGCATTATATAATTACTAATACTTCAAGAAACTTACACTAAAAAATCTGGTAAATGCAGGCAATTTTTGGTGGGTGCTCTGCTGGTGGACTAGGTGCTATACTGCAATGTGATAACTTCCGAGCTATGCTACCTTCCGGTGCCAAAGTGAAATGTTTCTCTGATGCCGGTTTCTTCATTAACGCGTATGATTCTTGAAATCTCCTTAACCATTTCACATCTGTTTTCTGAATTTTTTTACTGAAAACTGACTACTGAAATTGGTCATTTTTTACAGCAAGGATATCTCTGGAGCATCACATATTCAAGAAGTATTTGCTGATGTTGTCACTACACATGTATTATTCTCTCCATCCCAAAGTTTGTTAAACAGATTAATCTTGAATTTTTTTAAAAAACTTTCTTAAACCTTTTGATCTAATCTTATTGTTTGTGTTTTTATGTTAGGGATCTGCGAAAAACTTGCCTACATCCTGCACCTCTAAATTCGATCCTAAACTCGTAAGCACAATTGATTTTGGTTAAGCAAGGTATTAGCTTTTGTATTTCTGATAAAAGGACTTAAGAATCAACCATTTTGCATGCAGTGCTTCTTCCCTGAGTATGTTGCAAGGGGGATCCAAACACCGCTGTTTTTACTGAATGCAGCCTATGATTCATGGCAGGTTTGCTCATATATACTTCGTATTTTTTTAATACTCCTCATCTGTATTCTAATTGTGAAAGGTACACTTGGGAGACAAAATAAAATTGTAAATGTTGCACAAAATCCATTTGATGTGATCATGTTTGAAAGTCATTTTGAAATGTACTATAATTGTAAACTTTTATGCTGAGCTAATAATTGAACAAGGACATGTGCTATAAAGTAGAAATCAAAAGCATCCTATACACTTTGTTACGAAAAAGACTGAATTGATTTATTTATGGAATTGTAAATCTGTATGATAATAACTTCTCCAAACCATGTTTTCGAAGGATTTCTAATGTAGGAAGATAGGTGAAAGTAGCAACTACCTATAACAAGTACAACGTTCATATGCATTGCCTTAGAAAGAACGTCTTAATATATAAGTTTCATAAAGAATAACTGTATAAGTACATATAAGAGCTAGTGAAGCTCAGTTCACACCAAAATAAGTTTGAACAAGGGAATTTAGTTAAGACTGTCATAGATTATAAGGTGAAAAAGGAAGCCAAAGTCATTGAATTCATGATGATTTTACTGCTGCAGATAAAGAATACGTTGGCACCAGGTGTTGCTGATCGTCATGGGACATGGCGCGACTGCAAGGCTGATATACTCAAGTGTTCAGACAGTCAGCTCCAAACAATGCATGGTAAGTAACTCAGATATAAATATTCAATAAAAATTGGAACAAACTCGAATATTAAAAACCAAGAGATGTAGAGAGAAATAAGCATGCAGATTAAACTCAATAATGATGGACTGCAGATTATTTTATAGATGGACACAATTATAAACTTGAACTTTGTACAATGTTTCAGGCTTTAGGCAAAACTTCCTAGCCGCGTTATCATCCCTCGGTAACTCACCCTCTAGAGGGTGGTATATCAACTCTTGCTACAGCCATTGCCAATCAGGAACCCAAGAGACATGGCTAAGGAATGATTCTCCCTTGTTAGATGGCACGGTATGATGAGACTCGATCAGACTCCCCTGTTTCTATATAATTTCATAGTTTAAAACTAACTAATAGTCACCTATATTATTAAGGATGGTAAAACAAAATTCAATAAAATAATGATTTATTGGTTTTTTGTTCTTGCATAAGAAAAGGTAAGGAGAAATAGACATAACATAGCTATTAATCTATTATACATGGTATATTAGAAGTTAGGATAATGTGATAACTAATTTTGGACAGAGTGAGTACGTAATTCTCATTTAATAATGCTTCATACAATAGTTCACCGTAACATTTTTCACAACCTTATTTATGTTACATTCTTGCAGACTATTGCAAAAGCAGTGGGTGACTGGTTCTATGATCGGAAACCATTTCAGAAGATCGATTGCCCCTACCCTTGTGACAAAACTTGTCACAACCGTGTATTCGAGTAACTTATATATGGAATTATCTCTTCTTTTGGATACAACTCCATGGAACAAGAAGTTATACAAAACACGACATATTTCATCAAAATCATGTATGCATAAACTTGTCCAATATATGTATCAATTAATTAAGCCAATCATGCATAGTTTTTGGTAAGTAAGGCAACTAAGCTGTATTATACGTGAAATTGTCTTGTAATTGTATACTTAAGTTAATTATCATTCATCATAGATGTACCACTCACTAAACATTTGATCTATTTGGATTTATATTATACAAGTATGAATAAATGGATTTAATTGTATTTCATACACAAATTCACTCAATTCGTGAAAGGATTGGCATTACAACAGACTTTATCATAAAATAAAAAATCGTTAAGAATTTAAAAGGAACAAAGGTGGTACAAGTTTTTAAGTTGAATTTGGATTCATCAATGTAGAGGTAATTCTTAAATTTTTAAGAGTACATCATTTGTGAATGGTGTGACACTTTTTTGAAGAAATTTTGAGAAAGACACTTGTTAATAAGGTATTTTATTTGTAAAAAAAGTATTAAATAAAAATATCTAATCTAATCTAAAGTCCATAATAATTAGGTGTCAAAAATAGCTTTATAGTGCTTTCATCAAGTTGTATTAGGCAATTCAATGGAAAGAATTGTATCATAAGTCCTTTTTTATTTTTTCCTTGAAGATGTTTAATGCTATAAAAACAAGGCACATGGTTCTTTGAAAGGAGATATGATGTAGATGCATCCCAAACTTGAGTATCCAATTAGTTCACTACTTACATATCTACAGCATTAATGCTTGAATAATGCTCATATGATTGACACTAGGTAAATAGTGATGGTGATAGTGATTGTAATGGTGTGGTGTGTAATTAGATGTATTTGATCAAGTTGAACATTAAGAAAAGCAATTAGTAAAGGCAATAGTGATTAGTGATTAGTTGGTCTTTTTTTTTTTTTTTTTTTTTTTTTTTTGTATAGAATATTGACGTTGTGGACCTTACTGCTATCTTTATCAAGTTGTTATCGTTGTTCACATTTGGTGTAACTATTTCCTATTATTTCTCCTATACTTATCTTACCACTGTATCTAGTCATAATTTGGATCTTGTTGATGTTTCTTGAGGCGTAGTACTTCCTCATACACGAATACACGATAAATATCCAATAATGTAACAGTTTGTTATTACCTTCATTTAAACTTGCTTATCTCAAATGACTATAGCTAGAGATGACTAATTTCAAATGAAGTTAGTGTTACAATAAAACTCCAATTAAATTTAATTGTACTTTATGATTTACAAGTGATTTTGGCCTTAAAATGCAGTGGTTGAAACTGCAACTTGAACTGACTTAATTTAGTTAGGATTTAGTTAAAATGTCACCACTTAGATATGATATGAGAAGGACCCCACATAAGGGTTGGCCCATAAAACATAGGTTGGTCATATAAAACTTGGTGAACCAACTGGCAGATATCAGATTTTCCAATATGCCCATATATCACGCATTTATTGGTGCTTCTATGCTATGCATGTTTTGTTAATTTTGTTGGGTGCTATAATGTCAAAAGGCATAATCACCATTTAACAAATTGATGATTATCTAATACTATTTGATCCACCTTGTTGTATTGTTGTTTATCTTGCTTATATTGTGGGGTTTTAACCAAACATTATAGTTTTTATTTGAGTTTAACAAAATCACTAATTATAGCTTTAATTGATGGTGGGAAACACCAAGAATATCTTAGTGATAAGTCAATTATTATCTTAATCTTTTTTTTAATTTTATTTTTTTAACGGATCTTAATCTTTGTTTAGACTTAAAAATTTATCCCGAAAAATGAGATATCTTATTTGATTTTGTAAATCGAATTGAATATGCAGTATATAATATTCTTATCGGTTTAATATGTGTTGTTGCCTTGGCAAGATAAACACATTTATTTAGCTGTAAATATAAGAAATTATTCTATTACTTCTAATCCAAAATACGAAAAAAAAATTGTTATTTAAAATGTTGTATCTCATGCCTTAAAGTTATGGATTACTCCTACAATGTTTTTGTACTCATAACTTTCGAAAGCTACATAATGTATCTTCACTAATAGCTATATATGGATCCATTAATTCTTATCATTAGACTAAAGTACTAATACGTCATTAGTATTAGTTATATACACGAATAAGGTAACAGCGGCTTATATCACAACCGTAAAATAAAGTAGAAAAAAAAAAACGCAAATCCATTAGTTAGGCACATACATCATGTATCTATACTTAATTGTTTGACGAAGGCTAATATTCCCTTCTCATTGAAGAAGGAATAAATGTCACAACATAGGGTTTTACCACTTTTTGCACCAAAATTCAAACCCAAAGTATACTCATGTTATCGTCTTACGTTTCAACCTTACAAAGGAAAAATAAAGAAAAAGTGTTGCACTGATTCCATTTCTAATACAATGTCTCTTTCTTATTTTGGTACACCATCTTTCTCTCTCTCTCTCCTATTGGAATTGGCTTATTGCCAAAGCTTCCGCCGTTTCCAACTTCATTATATATACTTAACCCTTTTCAATCGTATTTACCCATTTGGTAATCACAATTATTATTATTCCTCTGTTTTTTTTTTCTTTCTTTACAACATTCAAGGTATATTTATCATTACTATATACTAATCATCTATATACTGCCATATCTTCTGTCTTTTACCATAAAGTTTCAATCTTTCCTTTGTTGTTATTAGCATTTTTGTTGTTTTTTTTTGTGGGAAATTTCTGGGTTTTATAATGTTGGATTTTGGATGATATTGGGTTTAGGTAAATTACAGAATTGGTTAAGAATATTGAGTTGTTTCTACAATGTGAAAACAACCAAATTCTTTAAAATAGGTTTGTTGGTTGTTTTGGGATTCAGTGATGAATGTTTTGATTTCATGATTTGTCTTCTTCTTAATTTCTTTACTTTGTCGATGGGAATGGGCTATGTACATTTTTAGGCTATTTTATTGGTAGACTCATGGCCGAATCAGCCCAACTATAGCGGGTATGGGTAAAAATTCTGGTTCGGAGATTGGCCCAACCTAGCTGACCACTTGGCCCCTCGACGAGCTTTTTTTTAAGAAAGTTCGACTTGACCCATGATCACCTCTGTCATTTTGTTACTATGTATTCAAGTTATGTGTCATGAAGTTATTTACTGACAGTGTGGAAATTAAGGAATTTCAATACCACATTGATTATGTGAAATATTGATTTTGTCAGTTCTACTGTTGCAAGTCACATCCCCTTTTCCTGGGAGTAGCCTTTTTTTGAATTTATTTTTTTTTTATTTTATTTTATAAGTTATATTAATATGGCAATGTCTATTTTTAATGTGCAGAATGACCTTCAGAACAATCCAACAATGGATGAAGCTTCTAATATTCATGGGAGTATTTCTGAAAACAGAAAGTTTATATGTTGGAATTACAAAAGTCAGAAGTGCAGTGGCTAAAGGAGCTGGTGAGTAGCATGGTACAAATTGTGTTGCGTGCCACACCCTTTGTTCGGAATTAATTGTCATACTTTCCGAGTATAATTTGAGTATATTCATTGGAGGGAGTATAATTTGTTAAATTTGGATAAGAATTATATATATGACCCCTTCAAATGCTGCATTAATATTAAGTGGCTATTATTATTTCTTGTTGTTATGGTTGTACAATCTAATTTATGTGTTAAATGTAATGTTATGCAGTTTGTTTAGATGGTAGTGCCCCTGCATACCACCTAGATAGAGGACATGGATCTGGGGTTAATAATTGGTTGGTTCATGTTGAGGTTAGTCCTACTATATATTAGTGAGTTTTCCTAGTAACATTTTTAGCATTTTTAATAAATTCAACTCTAAAAATCTCAATTTAATGAGGTTATATTATGATTTTATAGGCTTAGTGTATAATTTTGAGGTAAAATGTGTCTTGTTATAACAAGAACACCTTGTCTTTATAGGATGGGTTTGTTTGCATGATTTATCAGCTTTGTATTTGCATATTCAGGGAGGAGGTTGGTGTAACAATATCACAACATGCCTCGAACGAAAGTACTCTCACTTGGGTTCATCCTGGAAAATGGAAAAGCAGCTTGCATTTTCTGGAATTTTGGGCAATAATCCAATGTTTAATCCAGGTTTTACCAATTCTCATGTAATGAATTATAGTCCATAATTTTGTTTAAAGCTTGAACTTACTCAAAAATTGTTTATTTTTCAGATTTTTATAATTGGAACAGAGTTAAAATTCGATACTGTGATGGTGCCTCATTTACAGGAGACGTCGAAGCTGTCAATTCTGTAAATATATTACCTAACATATCTTCAGTTAATGCTTTCATTTATACATGAATTTGTTGATGAATTCTTTTTCAAATTTCTTTTGGTAGATTACTAAGCTTCACTTTCGCGGAGCTAGAATTTGGCATGCTGTCATTGAGGATTTGTTACTGAAGGGAATGAAAAATGCTAAAAATGTATGTCTCTATGTATGGTTAAGCTTAAGTGTTTTCCTAGCTTCTTTTGCGTTACATACACGTGTTTGTCGTGACTGCTGAAAAAAGTTGCTGCATTAGGCTATTCTTTCTGGGTGTTCAGCTGGTGGATTGACTTCCATTTTACATTGTGATAGCTTTCGAGCTCATCTCCCTGTGAATGCTAGGGTAAAGTGCCTCTCAGATGCTGGCTATTTTATCAATGTGTAAGCAAACAATGCCTTTACAAAAACTGTTTATCCTTTCTTGTCCTGCCAACTGGTTGATTTCGTTGACACACTCCATGTTTGATGTAACAGAAAAGATGTCTCCGGAGCATCACATATCGCTTCATATTTTGATCAAATAGTCAAATTACATGTACACTACTACTTTTTTAAGAATTGATCCTCTCAATGTTAATAGCTGTGCATTATTTCTGCCTTTTCTTCTGAGTTCTGACTCTCTACTTATTTGAGCAGGGTTCAGCAAGGACTTTGCCTGCATCTTGCACCAGGACTTTAAGACCTGATTTGGTAAGTTCAGGTTTTTGGTTACCTCTAGTCTTCAAGCCATGATTGCTTCTCTTCTTCAGTCTTTTTTGATGCATGGAATTGATGTTTCAGTGCTTCTTCCCACAATACATGGCAAAAAAGATCAAGGCACCACTCTTTATACTAAATGCAGCATATGATAGATGGCAGGTTAGTTGATATCTTTCTCTCTAATCTAGAACTCATAACTGCCTAAAAACAATATCTTTACTGTTGTGATATCTTTCTCTCTAATCTTATACCTGCCTGTTCTTTTTGAATATCGCATACTTTAACATGTTAACATGTAGTATGATCATATCCTCGTTTGGTAATTAGAAGTTGAGAAATAGAATCATCTGGTCTCACTTGTATGGTAGTAAAAATTCCAACCTTGACTGATTGAAGTGGCTCTATTGTGTTCAGATAAAGAACATTTTGGCACCCGTTGTAGCTGATCCTCAAGGCGTCTGGTCTGACTGCAAGATTGACATAAAGAATTGCTCAACCAATCAGCTTACTGTCATGCAAGGTTCACAGAACTCAACAATATTGCTCTTCCTTAATTTGAATCATATATTACACCTGTACAATCTTGTCACAATATTGCTTGTTTCATCAGATTTTAGGTCCGAGTTCTTAACTGCTCTGAGTAAACTGGGAAAGTCACCATCTAGAGGGTTGTTCATAAATTCGTGTTACGCCCACTGCCAGACAGAATTGCAGGAAACATGGTTTAGTCATGACTCCCCTGCTTTGCACAAAACGGTATAAACTCAGTGGTTTATTTTTTTCGAATGCAAATGTTATTTGCTAACATAATGTCAATTATGCTTTGCAGAGAATAGCAAAGGCAGTTGCAGACTGGTTTTACGACAGGAGACGACTTCAGATGATAGACTGTCCATACCCTTGTGATCATAGTTGCCATGATCGGATTTTTGAGCCAGACGAACCACATCATCACCATCATCATCAACAACAACAACAAAAAGTATAGTTATTTCTACCCAGCTAAAACACATTCATATTATTTGTTAGGTGGTAAGAATTGGATCAATATATATAGGAATTACATTTCTTCAATTGAAGGAAAAGTATAATATAGGTACAAAGAAAATATATTTTTGAATACAATTCATTGTTTGCCAAGAAATTTTTGGCTTTTTTTTTTCTTTCTTTAATGAAAATACGTAATAATAATTCATTATACATTTATATACAATATATACACTCATTTTACATACAAAAGCTTAATAGTACAAGAACAATCATTTCTGTATAAATTTTGATGGTCAAGAAAAATCTTTATTATTTATATACTCCCTTTATCTAATTTTTATAGTCCCTAACTCTTTGAATGATAAAGGATTCCATGGTTTTACAAATTACCATTTGTAATAGATTACTTTAGAAAGTACTTGTATATAATTGAAAAAATAATACCGCGTAAATTCATAAAGCTTTACATTTGCGCGTTCTAAACCAATACAAAGTATATGTGACTATTATCCTAGACAAAAGATCAGAATATGTTACATGCATGCTATAGTAAGTTGGTACACTAATTAAGCTTTGATTTGAAGCTTGACATCACATACACATGCACAGGGCGAAGGTGAAAAACGATGGAGATATATGTTGCTCGAGAAACTACTTCTTGTTCTATGTTTATTTGGCTATGTAACCATTTTTTAGATGGAAGTTTTTATTAGGCTTTGTAAATTATATGGCTCACATGCAATATACTATGATACCGTTTTTGCTGATAATATTACTTCATTTATTTATTTATTTATTTTGAAAACATTACTTCATTTTTTTTAGTTGTATGTCACCCAATAGTTATAACAATATAATCAGGTCATTTAACAAAAAAGTTGCAGAACGGGATTACATGCAATTTTCAACACCAATTATGTTGTGAATTTAAATTCTTACTACTAGATCAATTCTTGCTCGATATACTACTTAAGTAATCGAGAAGTGAATTCATACACAGTGGCAACAAAAATAAACCGGTGTTTCTATTCTATTTCCATTGACAGATACTGATAGAACCAAAAACAGATTTCAATATTCCAAAGTTGCAGATAACAATTAACGGAGGTAGTATATAGTAGTAGTAGTTTTTGTTTGTTTGTATAGGAAAAATTAGCTAAAGAAGGATGTAATGTTTGGCTATGATTTCGTCATCAAAGAGTTATAGAGCACATAATGTCAAGTATGTCGGAATACCTATAGGTTATAGAGCACATCTTGCCAAACTAACATTGAAAAAATGAAAAATTAGCTAAATAAGGATGTAGTGTTTGGCTCTGATCTCGCCGTCAAAGGTAAAGCACTTGCCACCAACAAGAGTGACGAGCACCTCTTTAGGAGAGGTACGTTGGACTCTGAATAGAATGAGATGAAGATTGGTCTTGAGTGGTTGATTGTCCTCTTTATAAGTACAGGAGTTAGCCAAGCACAAAACATTGTTGCCCAAATGAAGCATGTTAAGGAATTCAGCAATGCAATAGGGGGCAGGAAAATACTCAGAGTAAGCGAGCTTCAACCAAGTTTTACTGGTCAGATCATAGGCAGTAAGGCAATCGGGTTTTTTCTGCCTATGAAAATAAATAACATCGTCGAGCAAGGTGGTGGCCTGAGATCAGGGCCAGAAATCATGTGCGAGACAATTCCAAGTAGGCGAAGTAGCAGTAGCAGGATAAAAGGCAAAGAGGGCAGAAATACACTTGACATGCATAACAAGCCTATGATTGTTCTCATCAGGAATGACAGGATCAGACACGTCTAGATATTTGACGACAGGCTGAAGAGGGTAATGCGTTGCAGAGGATGGTAGAAAAGGCAAGTCCTTCCACTCTCCAACTTGAGGATCAAACACCTGTACAAGAAGCCCTACTCCTGATTCTGTAAAGGTATATATTTTACCCTCAAGCACGGCACAAAGAGAGGATTCAGCATACAAGGAGCAGCTTGAAATCTAGTAGGACTCTATAACCAAACCGCCTTTACGATCCCCAATTGCGCACCACAGCCCCCATTTCACCTTTTCCTGACCATCGCAGGTAACCAAGACCACCAAAAATTCCCACAAACCCCACCATTCAACCAATGAGCCGCTACCACCAGTAGCCACCTCACTAACTGTTTCCACCCGCCACCAAAAACTCCCACACGACAAACCTCACAAACCCAGCCGCTGCTCCTACTCCCTTTCCTCGCACACGCATCAGATCCCCAATTCCCCAATTGCGCACCAAATCACAGCCTACGCCACCAATTACCACCAGTCCGCCATTCAGTGGGCAATTCGCCACCAATTTTAAACATTTTCACCCTCCATTGATTTTGTTGAGATTTGTGATTGATGGTGATGGTGGGGCATGATGTGTGAAGAAGAAATTAGGGTTGGGATGGTGCCGGTGGTCGGAGATTTAAATTGGGCGAGTAGGTAGGCTGGGGGGGGGAGGAGGTGGGCTTGTCGCCGGCGGCTAGTGGAGGAAGGGGGTTTTAATATTTTTTTTTTGTAAGGAAAATTTGTTCAGGAAAACCTTTTAATGTAAACTTTTTGTTCAAAAAAATCTTTTAAAGCCACTCTTTTTCTCACATGTGCGTGTCATGTGCCTCCTATTTTTCTAATCACACCCCTCTTCCTAATTCCACTCTATTTTCCTTCCAATTAAATAACAAAGTACTGCACTGACAAAGTAACAACTATAACACTAATTGGGTAACCCCTATAACACTAACTGAGTAACCTTACGATGGTTGGCTGCACACATATAAAATTAGTACCAAAGTCTATATTAAAAATGAAAATTATAGTTTTTCTTATAGGGTGGTACATATACACTTACATGCCTCATATTATTATTTTTAAAAAAACCTACATAGGATGTGTGACCTATCCTATGGTCTAAGCCCTATCTTTTGAACAAATCTAGTGTTTTCTGACCACTTTGGATTGCATGTATATGTGATAAATAGATCTGGATATCCATACCACTTGCATGTATATAGACATGGTATCCTAAAAATTTTGCATCATATATCTAGCACTATCAGCAAATGGCGAAGATAAGACAATCCGTAATCTTGTAGATTAGAGATTAATGTCTGCTCTCAAAATTGCATCAACAAATTAAATTCTTATACAATTCTGACCTCAATTTTTTTTAGATGTGTTCGAATGTAATTAAATCTATCAGCCTCAATCATAATGTAGACATTAGCCAAAAACTGCTCAAATAACTTTCTTGACATCTATAATAATATTCTATCATACTCAATCTCTGCCTTTTGTTAGAAGAACTACTTCCTTTATTATTTCTACCCTATAACCATCATTGTCCTCAAAAGTATAATTAGTTAACATCCTTTGACCTACTTTTTTTTTTTTTACTAAATTGTAATATAAAGTTGACTAATATATGTTGAATAGAAGTTTTTATTAGTTATAAAGATTATTACTCCCTCTATCATTTTATTAGAATCTCATCTCTCTTTACTATGTGAATAATGAATGTTAGAAATTGGACTATAATAAAAAGACGAAGGGGCGGGAGTATATAATTATAAATATTTTCTTAATTCATTAAAATTTTCTAGATTCTTCATAAACTGAAATTTATTATTATTTTTTTTAATTATTCATAATTTGTAATTGACCATTGTTATAGAAAAATAGAGAAAACGATAATCTTTTATAAAATATATGGTAGGGTAAAAATAGAGAGAGAGAGAGAGAGTTTTATAAAATATATGGTAGGGTAAAAATATCTTATACTCTGTATAATCTTTTATGCATTAAACTGATACAAATCAAAATAGATTACAACATTTAATTATTTATACCACAAAAACTTTCCATTTCTTATCTTAGTCATCTAAAGGGTATTAATTTTGCTACTGTAGCAAAATTGAGTTAAGAAATGGAAAATTTTGGTACAATCACATTCTGAAAAATTACAATAGCAAACTAGCAAAATTAAGCTAAGAAATCGAAAATTAACCCAAGCTCTATCACCGACCCTACCCAATTCCCGCCACCATTTCTTTGATTCCGGCCACCAATCCCGATTTCGACCACCTCTCTCATTAATATTTTCCAGTCCATTCATTAAATTTTTGGGAGGATGGCTATAAGAAAAGGAGAGGTAGACAATCAAGTGTCTAAAAAAACAATGGTGGACAATCAAGTTTGCCCACTCTTGATACATACAGTATTCAATATTTATTTATTTATATATTTCTTTTTAAGTGTATTGATAAAGATACCAAATGTGAGTGAAGAAGTTTGAATAGTAATTGAACGTTTTCCACAAGTTGATTGATTGATGTCCGAATATTATTGTAACAACCCATTTTTCTCAGTAATAAATTTGAAGGATGGTAATAATTTGGATTGTGGGTGAGTAATGAGTTGTCAGCTCAATGTATGAACCCTTGTTTAGTTGCAAAAGATTAGGGGAAATCAAATACTGTTTAATTAAGTTGTTAGAATTCCAACCAAACATGGAAAGTGCTTAACTTTCTTATGATTGCCTTTGTTTTATATTCCCTTTTAATTTTATTTTACTTTTTATTATAACCACTTTGCACATTTACAAATATATATCTTTGGCCTTTAATATCCGAAATGTACATGAACATGTTTTTTCTTTTGTTTCAGGTGCAAAAGAGTCCAATGTAGTAAATTAAATTAATAAGTTATAATTCTACTTTTATATAACACGAGTAATAGATGAAATTATACACATCACATAAATAAAATCGCACTTAAATTTATAGGCAGATCTATTGACCCTACGTATTTTTGTAAAATAAATATTTGAAAAATGAAAAAAATAATAAATTATTTAATATTGATTTTTTTTTAATAGCTAATATTGAATTATTTAATATGAGAAATGTGATATAAAATTATTATTGATGTATTAATATTAATAATTATATATATATTACAACTTAGCTACATTACAACTTCTTTAATTATATTTAACATTTAATAAATAACTAAAACCAAGGGGGAGGCCAAGGCCCACCCTAGCCCCCCTGGTTCCGTTCCGCCCCTGAAGTGAACAGACCCTTAGTGTTTAATTTAATATATCTTATTGATTGATTGAATTTTATGAAAAAAAAATGGATAGAACGAAAGTATATCTTCAATTCTTTGATATGTAATGGGGAGCAAATCATATAATCTTCTTTGATATGTAATTAGGAAAGCAAATCATATCATCTTCAGTTCTTTGATATGTAATTGGGAAAACAAATCATATCATCTTCTTTGATATATAATTAGGAAAGCAAATGGATCATATCATCTTCTTTGATGTGTAATTGGGAAAGCAAATCATATCATCTTCTCTGATATGAAATTATTTATGTAAATCTTGATTCCAAAATTACTAATCTGATTTCGACTATAAATGTAAATATGTAATGCTGGTTGAATTGAATTGATTTTTGTACTCACTAACATATTTGCATTTTATTTTTTACTTTAGTAATCAATGGCATCAAGTGGTAGAGCTCCATGCACTATTTTTTCCATAATCTTCATTTTTTCTCTCTTGGTCGTCATAGCAAATTGTAAGTTATACAATGCAACTATTTGTTATCTGTTTATGTAGTTTATTATACATTCACATCATTTTGGTGATCGATTTTGTAGTATATATATGTATTATGTGTAAAATTCACTATAATTCAAATATGAGAATTATGTGAAAAATTCACTATAATTTACACACGAGTACTA